ACTCTGAAGCAGGGGTGCCCCCCAAACAGTTGGCGGAGCACGAGGCGCGGCTCGTGTCACTGACGACGACCGCCTGATGCTGCTGCTGTTGCTGCTGCTGCTGCTGCTGTTGCTGTTGCTGCTGCTGCTGTTGTTGCTGCTGCTGCTGTTGTTGCTGTTGTTGCTGTTGTTGCTGCTGTTGCTGCTGTTGTTGCTGTTGTTGCTGGTGTTGCTGCTGCTGCTGTTGTTGCTGCTGTTGCTGCTGTTGCTACTGTTGTTGCTGCTGTTGTTGCTGCTGTTGTTGCTGCTGTTGTTGCTGGTGTTGCTGCTGCTGCTGTTGCTGCTGTTGTTGCTGCTTCTGCTGTTGTTGCTGTTGTTGCTGTTGTTGTTGCTGTTGTTGTTGCTGCTGCTGCTGTTGTTGCTGTTGCTGTTGCTGTTGCTGCTGTTGTTGCTGCTGTTGTTGCTGCTGTTATTGCTGCTGTTGCTGCTATTGCTGTTGTTGTTGCTGCTGTTGCTGCTGTTGCTGTTGCTGCTGCTGCAGTGCCATTGTGATGCGGATGCGTTACGTTGCCTCGCCTCGTGTCGTTCGGGAAAAATCCCCTCCCCACATCCTACCGGTGACACATTCGGGCCCGGGCACACGTACACGTGTACATATACGCGTGTACATATATAGTATATATATATATATATGTGTGTGTGTGTGTACACAACAAGCCCTTGTGGCACATTGGGGGTTGAAAAAGCATCGCTTCTATGGCTCTGGGCCCTGACGAAAAGTTTTCATTATGAACGGAGAAACAGTTGTTGGTTCATTCGATTCCGGGACGTTCGAGGCGGAAGTTTATGCCAAAACGCTCGCTCTCTCTCTTCTCACAATAAAAGAACAACAAATAAAAAGTAATTGTTTACAACGCTCGACGTGAATAAAAAAAAAATAAAATAAACGGTGTTAAAAATTTAACAAAAATAGATGTATTTTTTTCTAAGTGATATATGCCTTGGTGTTACCTAAAAAAAAATAAAATAAAGGCATATGTGCCTTAGAACCAATAAAAGAAATACTTCAAACCGCACAGCTGTTTGGAACAACAAATTACAAGCACACACACCCTGTACACACTCCCTAAACCTGGAGGAGAGATCTACCAGAAACCCTCAGAGAGAAGAAAGTTCATGAGTAAGTTAAACATTTGCCACTAAAATTGCAACAAAAAGATTTCTAATTGTTAATGTTTATAGCCAGGAATGTATGTTTTAGTCAAAGAACAAATTTAAGTTTGCTCTCTTTTGGTAGAAAGTGTTTGTTTTTGAAAATAATGCAATGGCAATTGAATAGGAGTTTGTCAAGGAAGTTGTTAACAGGTGGCCGCAGGTGACAAGCGCTGAGTTTTCACGCTGTCAAAAAGCGGTTACTAACCGTCGGCATTTTTTATTTACTACATAAATTTATAAATTTATTTGGTCACTTTTTATGGATTTATTTATTTGTTTAATTAATAATACATTTATTTTTTTAGATATTGCAAAATCACAAAAACAAAATAGGTACTGCCAAGATATAAGCATTATTTTATGTTTGTAATGATATTTTAGATAGAAATCTCTATATTACTTTTATTCTTTGTTTAGGAAAATTTTAAATCCCAAATTCTATAATATTTGTTTATTTTTAAAAGCAAATATTTTAATAAATATTGAATTCCTTTGTTATTTAGTTTAAAGAGAAATGTTAGATCTTAAATATATATAAAATAAAGCCGATGGTTTTATACTCTAGGTGACCGCCATGGTGGTCCGAACGGTCTACCATTTTCATATAAGAAGTAAGCCATCTTTCTTACTTCTACTCCCAATTTATATCTCCCTTTCTCTTTTATTATAAAAGAAGAAATAGCTCATCTTTTTAGACTTTAAAGCTGAATTTCTTGTTCAATATGTCAGGTTTATATGTTATACATTGGAATATATCGTACTTATTCCTTTTTAAAAGAGATGTATTGAAGCATTAATATTTTGTTAAGGTTTAAACAAGATTTTATAATAACACTAGGATATTTTATTTCTTTACAATTTCTATAATTTTAAGACGAATTTGATCCAGTATATACATAGAGTTTATGGGGTCTGAATGGTTTTTAAATAAGCTAAGAACCTATCAATTAAATTTGTTTAACCTGCTTGATTATTTCATAACAAAATAATGTGACAAATATTCGGTGGAGCTGGTATGGAATATAGCCTTTTGCCAGAGCACAATCAAAATAGTTTGGTCAAGCACTGAGGCACAGAACACACCGCTCTTGGCCTTTATGGGCTCGTTCTTGTTCTCCCATTGAAGCACAATTACACCGCGTTTGGTCATCAACCAACCAACCAAGCAACCAAGCGACCAAGCAACCATTCAACCAGCATTCAGTCAGCCAGAGTCAGTCAGTCAAACAAACAGTTCAGCCAGCCGCCATCCGGCCATCGAACTACATCTTTGTCCACTTTTGTCCACGGTCATGGTCTATTGCCTTTGGAGTGCGCTTGGACTTGGACTTGAACACATATAAAATAATACAGATTCGGGGTGTTTCACTGTATATATTTTCAAACAAGTTCTCATAAAAGAATTTGCATGATCTATCAATGTTTTCAATATTTAAATAATAAAAAAATTGATCTAAAATCTATCAGAAATTACATTACATTAGAAACCCACTATAAATTTTAATTTGTTGTTGTACGAAATCCAAACCCAAAACGGTTTAATTTCGATGTTTTCATACAGAAAAATCGATTTTAAATGGATACACAATTATGTTTTTTGAGTTTAAAAAAGATCACTAAGCGAAAAGCTTAAAGGAATTATAAGCCATACATTTTTAATGATATGAACTAGTTTTAGATCTTAAAAAAGAAATATTTCAATATAAGTTTTAAGAAAGTTTGTTATAAAACCGATAAACTTCGATAGCCAATCGATTGGCAAAGTTCTTTATAAACAATGATAAACACAGTAAGACAGAGTTACAACCCTGATTATCTGTTGATACCCTGTACAAATATATTAGGTAGTTTTTTGAAAAAGTTAAAAAAAAAGAGACCAATGAAAGTGGAAAGAACAGAACTTATTTTCGGAACTGTCAACATTGAAAGCCAGTCAGTCAAGTCAGTCAGGCCACCCTGAATGTTTCGAAACAAAAGCTAGTGATAAATTTTGAAATACATAGATGGAGGGTAGACACCGGAAATGTGCGTGTTACAAACACACACATATTCCCTTACAAAACTGTGACTGTGTTGTTTTTGTTGTGACTGTAACTGTGACTGTGACTGTGACAGTGTACACGTTACGGTACACGTTTGTCAACTTCCGCTCCACTTGTTGGTGTGCGTAAGTGTTTGCCGCAACAAAGAGGTTTCACAACATCCGCCTCCACATCCGTTACGACTACCGACTACCGACTACTGACTACTGACTATTGGTGCTATTCCCTGTATTCCCTGTACCCTGTTAAGGGCAGTCTCCTAGTCGCATTTTATCAAATGAAGCAGAATAAACTTTGCGTAGTTTTATTCGCCTTGGAGTGCCGGTACACACACTCGTATCCCTGTGTGTTGTGTGTGTGTGTGTGTGTGTGTCGAATAATGCATTGTACTCCTGTCTTCCTGTCTCTCTGTCTTCCTGTCACACATCCTAAAAGTTTCAGTTACGTCAGAATTACTGGTGACATATATGTACAAAGTGTAGAAGGTATAGCTTGGACAAAACCCCCACAGTCCAGTGTCCTTTGAGAGTATTTTATTAAAAAATATAAATAAAAGTATATATACCTATTTATGTATATAAAATTTATATTATAAATATTATTATTATGAAAATGGTTTAAATTGGTTAAAATTTATAACCTTTAAAATAAGAAAGCTATGCAAATTTAAACATAGTTAAAGGATCTGTCAAGCAAATTCAACAAACTGTCAGTTCATCATAGCAAGTGGGCAGCCCTAAAACATTATGTCAAATTTTTACATAACCTAACAAACAAATCCTAAGGATACCGCCTGTACTTAAAAATATTATATAATTTAATTCTTAATACTATTTGTTTTTCCCGCAGTTTAATGCTTCTCAGGTCTAGAGAGTAACATTAAACATGCTTTAGTTTTTTTGTTGAAACGGTAAGGCCTATTCCTGGTTCGCCTTTGATGCTTTTAATATAATTATGCACTGAAAATTCTATTATATATTGTTATTGTATTGAAAACAACAACAATAACAAGTACGAAAATAAGAAAAAAAACATGCCAACATTCTGATGTATCTGACTTTGTGTCCAATAATTCGATTTATACACTTTTTACCGACAGAGATGGCAAAGGCAACCGGTAGCACCCGGTCAGGGCCACCCTTTTATGGCACTCTGAGTGCATTAGATCCAAAGTGGCTGCCAGCAAACTTTATTATTGCGGCTGAGTACCAATATCTCCCACTTCCCATATACCTCTACCTATACCTGCATATATATATGTACATATATGGGTGCTTAAATTAAATGTACATATATGTATTTACATAAATACCTTAGTTGCTTTTCCATTTGTAAAGTGGCCTTTATGTCTACGCTTTAATTTATTTGCCTTTTTTTTAAGATTATGGGGATTTTAATACAAAATTGCTTTGGATAATTATCTTAATTATAAACACTATGGGAAGGATTAGCCTTCAATACTTAAGAAACTATTTATTAACTTAGTCGGAGTCTTCATTTGAACATAGATTCAGTTGTCTAAAAGTTCACTAAGGACCATGGACTATTTATACATAAATAAGTATCCCTAATTTTACCTTTTTACCCTTTTACCTTTCCTTTTTCCCCATTTCTATATGATCCCTCTCATGCTTTGCCCGCAATGTTCAAGCGAAGCAGCTACAACCTCTAAAAGTTCCCCTCAGTTTAATAATTATAATATTTTAGTTAGGTTAGAATATTTACTTGCAGTTAGTGCATAAACAAACACATTTATTACAGTTTATATGTCGAATAGGTAAAATGATTTATAACAAATCATCTTGTTCCCCTTCCCAAAACTGAACAAAAGAAAAACAAACAAATAACACAAAAATGTGGACCTCCTCATAGATCCCAACGATGGCAGGCGATTGCCATCGCAATGTGGGCCAAGGTAATCCAATATCCTGGGCCCCAATACGGAGCTATCGTCATCGGATCCTGGTCACCCTTGCATTGCTGACAAGGATGAGGGGGTAGCTTAAGGATTGCCATTTGCTGGGGTAAATTATCATCACCCGGTATGGTCATCAGTGCACCCGCGGAGAGAGCCCGCAATAGCATAAGATCAATGGGAGAGGGAGAGACTCCGTTCATGGAGGGCAGACCATCATCAACATCATCGGGATTAGCATTAGCAGCAGCAGCAGAAGCAGCATCACCAGCGGCATCATCACCATCCACAAAGTCCAAGTCATCGAAGGATAGAGCTCTATGCAAATACTCTGGATCAACCACATTCGAGCAGATCTCTCGAACAAAGTGTGGATAGTAATCGATGCGATCTTGCTGTGAGAGTATCTATTAGAACCTATATAGGGTTAAACCCTCCTCATCCCCCTCTTGCTTACCACATTTCCCGTCATGCCCACAAATGTCAGGGAATTGGGCTGGGACTCCTCCACTCCTCCCACATTATCAATGGCCCTGAAGGTGCCACCTCCACTCTGGAAATTATTATGAATCCCGGGCTGGGTTATTATTATCTGCCTCTGGTTGGCAGTGTGAATGGCCTGCATTAGCTCATTCATTGATGGATTGACCAAGTGAACGCTCTCCGAGGCATCGTCATCCCCATCATCAACATCATACTGAGCTGAGGGCGATGATAGAACCACCATGCCTTGGTCCTCAATATCTCGTAATCCTTTTTGGGCACTTGCAGCACTCAAAAAGGCACGATTTGCTCTGTATTTGAGTATTTACCTAATATTTTTAACTTATTTATGAATAATTTAGTTGCGAGCTTACAGATACATCCACATTGTTGAAGATCAAATGGGCTTAAAAACTGAAGAAAGAGTGTACCCCCGCTTAACAAGGTACGAGAAAATTTAGTTAGAAATTTTGTACAAGTTCTATGTAGAATTGTATTGAAATCAAATAATTTGACATTGAGGCAAAGTCGACTATGTTTTAGTTATATTATATATTTAAAATATAATAATGGAATATTATACAACCCTGGAAAAATACTAATAAATTCATTTACTGTCTTACAGAGAAAGGACAACCAATGTTTATGGCGAAGGAGCATCGCAGTTTTAGCGCTTATTTAGTCAACTAATTATTTGCAGCCCCATCAGTGCTAATCTTTCCAAGAATAGAGTTTTCTCAAGTGTTTTCCCAAGTGCTATTCATGGATAAATATCTTACAAAGTCCTCACTGAAGTCGGGTTTCGTTAGCAGCGGTCTGTCTATAATTAAAACAAGTTCGTTGTCGACGAAACCTGCATGCTGTGTGGGACAAACAACATGGATATTTGGTTTGGACGTGCTAAATTCGACACAAAACAATTATAAACAAGAAAGGAAATACATTTTGGGGAGCCAAAGTTTATATATCCTTGCAGTTTGCAATTGCATTATAGGAACGTACCGAAAATCAATCATAACTGTTCACATTCTTTGAATCAATATATATCGAAATTATTAATCGACATCTAATTTTTTCAGCATATGAAAGTTTTGAAAAGTCATAACCAAGCCAAAAATGCATTAATTTCAATTCGGAAAGCTGTTCTGTGCTAGTTTTTAATAAGTTGATAAAACTGCATACTCCATTTAACATTTAAGACAACTAAAATTTTTGCCCATATTTCAAAATTCAATTTTCACAATTTTACGCCTTAAAAATTGTGAAATTTAAAAAAAATTAAATTTTTGTCGGACATAGCTAGATCGATTCGGCTGTTGATGCTGATCAAGAATATATATGATTTATAGGGTCGGAAATGACTCCTTCACTGAATTTTAAGCTTCTGACTATAACTATAATCCAATTTTCGAGTAGATATTTATCTATATTTTTAAACGATATTTTTTCTACCAATTAAGATTAAAAATATTCATAACCAAGCCAAAAATGCATTAATTTCAATTCGGAAAGCTGTTCTGTGCTAGTTTTTAATAAGTTAATAAAACTGCATACTCCATTTAACATTTAAGACAATTTCAATTTTGCCCATTTTTCAAAATTCAATTTTCACAATTTTACGCCTTAAAAATTGTGAAATTTTTAAAAAAATTAAATTTTTGTCGGACATAGCTAGATCGATTCGGCTGTTGATGCTGATCAAGAATATATATGATTTATAGGGTCGGAAATGACTCCTTCACTGAATTTTAAGCTTCTGACTATAACTATAATCCAATTTTCGAGTAGATATTTATCTATATTTTTATACGATATTTTTTCTACCAATTAAGATTAAAATATTCATAACCAAGCCAAAAATGCATTAATTTCAATTCGGAAAGCTGTTCTGTGCTAGTTTTTAATAAGTTAATAACACTGCATACTCCATTTAACATTTAAGACAATTTCAATTTTTGCCCATTTTTCAAAATTCAATTTTCACAATTTTACGCCTTAAAAATTGTGAAATTTTTAAAAAATTAATTTTTTGTCGGACATAGCTAGATCAATTCAGCTGTTGATGCTGATCAAGAATATATATGATTTATAGGGTCGGAAATGACTCCTTCACTGAATTTTAAGCTTCTGACTATAACTATAATCTAATTTTCGAGTAGATATTTATCTATATTTTTATACGATATTTTTTCTACCAATTAAGATTAAAAATATTCATAACCAAGCCAAAAATGCATTAATTTCAATTCGGAAAGCTGTTCTGTGCTAGTTTTTAATAAGTTAATAAAACTGCATACTCCATTTAACATTTAAGACAATTTCAATTTTTGCCTATATTTCAAAATTCAATTTCCACAATTTAACACCCTTAAAAATTTTAACATTTTTGAAAAAATTAAATTTTTGTCGAACATAGCTAGATCGATTCGGCTGTTGATGCTGATCAAGAATATATATGATTTATAGGGTCGGAAATGACTCCTTCACTGAATTTTAAGCTTCTTACTTAAATAATAATAGCCTGAAGAGGTATATTTACACCTGTGCGTATACGTAATTTTTCGTACCATAAATCCCTGAAATAAAATGTAAGCCTGAGAGGAAACTGACTTCGGCACGCCAAAACTTAAATACGATTGCAGCTTACAAAAAACGATAGGATGAAATCGGAAATCGATAATAAATAAATTTAAAATAATCGCATTCTTTAAATCAATATTTGTTGATTTTTATACGACAATTTTGTCGACAAATCAAACATTAAAAAACTCATTACTTAGCCAAAAAAGCATTAATTTTTATTCGGAGAGCTGTTCTATGTTAGTTTTTATCAGGTAAATAAATCTGCATACTCAGTTTAAAAATTAAAAAATTAATTCTTTTTCCAATTTTTTTGACAATTGGAACCCCGTAAAAAATGTTAACAAATTTTTTAAAATTAAATGTAGATCGAACATAGCTAAATCGATTCAGCTGTTAATGCTGATCAATAATATATATAATTTGTAGGGTCGGAAATGACTCCTTCACTAAGTTTTAAGCTTCTGACTAATATAAAATGCTCAGCAAGGGTATAACAATCCGAGTTTACAACCCAAATAAAAGGTAAATAAAGTCAGCATCCCAACTCTCCAACAAGAGTGGATCAAACAAGAGTGGATCTAACAAGAGTGGAACTACCAAGAGTGGAACTAACAAGAGTGGAACTAACAAGAGTGGAACTAACAAGAGTGGAACTAACAGGAGTGGAACTAACAAGAGTGGATTGCATTCCTCTCTCGCTCTTAGGTTCCACTTTTCAGAGCGAGAACAAATAAAGCAACGGGACCTGTTCCGTTATTTGGAGGAAAGAAATATTCAAGCGCAAGAAAAAGTAAAGACAAAATAACGGAGAAGAAAAAATTGTCACTCACCCGCAAGCATCGTGGTAGCAGATTCCAACGGCGGATGAGAAAAAACACAACCTAAAAACACATCCCTTGGTTATTTTAGAGTTCAGTGTCATATTTTGTATTGTTTTACACTTGCACAGAAAAAAAACAACAAAAAGAACCTGCTGATCCGTTATGTATGTATGTATTGTGTATGTAAATATATTTACGCTGCTTGGCTTTAGGGCGTTCGCCCCCAACTTCACTAACACTTTATTAACACTTCACTAACACTTCACTTGCACTTAACACTCTTGCCACAAATATATTCCGCCGCAGGTTTTTTTTTTCACTTTAACCGCCAGCGTAGATCTCCAGCGCAGAGATTTTTTTCATCCGCTTCGACCGGCAGCGTGGAAGGAACTGAATGCGGGAGAGTTCGCTCAGCGATTTGGAAGGCGGCCATTATTAGGATTCTTGGAGAGTGGCGTGAGAGAGAGAGCGATCAGCTGGCCACTTCGAATAAGCTCACGGCTTGGAGTTGAATTGGAAATACGATCCAATTTTGTATTAAAGGAATAGGTACAGGTACGCCAGCATTTCTTTCTCATGTTCTTAATTGGGTAATAAAAACAAAAAATAAATATTAAATAATTTCAAAAGACGTTATCTAATTATAATTATTTTCTATAAATTTTCCGATCGTAAATATTCGGTTGTTTTTGATATATACAAATATAAGGATATACAAAACTTATACTTACCAAACCTTATCTCAATTTTTACTTAGCAGGCATAAATTGGGAGTCATCCTGCAGGATCCTGGTACGAATTCGGTTCACGAAAAGAAAGCTGAGAAGGATGTGCATCAGGATCTAACACCCGAAGGATGCAATCACCTGTCAAGAAGCTAAAATATGAACTGCAATGGCATAAGGACGAGCTCAGGTTGGACATACTATCAGGTGAAAGGCTACCAGTTGGAAGGAACACGGAACAAGGAATCTCCAAGGACTTTTAGGAGATCTGTTGCCATTCGAAGTTCAGGAAAATATACAAAAATTAATAATAAATCATTTTTTGGAAATTTAAATGATGAATAAAATGCCAAAAAGGGGAAAATCTGTTTTTCTACTGGAAATTTCGAAATAAAATTACAATTCCCTGAGCAAGGATGTAATAATAATAAAGGATTCATTAAGGATCCAGCATATATGCTGCTCGAAATAATTATCCTTTTTGGGCTTTAGTTTTTAACCTCCCATGCGAATAGATTGAAGAACAACCAACCCAGTTTGTGTTTACTTTATATATATATATATGTATATATATATTGTTTGGTAATTTATTAAATCGTCATTTACAGTATTTGGAGACCGAACGATTTTTATGTAAATATTCATACGTTTATAAGGTTTAAATTTCGGCTCTCTGACCTCGAGATTATATTTATTATTGGCTGACATTCGATTATAAAATCGCAAAATACAATTTGTTTTCGTTTTTTCTGTTTGTTGTAATTATAACAAAAGCCATCGTAAAATCTATATTAAAATTGTAAGTGATTGATACATTCTCTTTTAGCTGTTTTTCATTTTGTTGTTAAAGGTTAACAAAGCTGTTAACAGAGTGTTTCTTTTTGCTATTTTTGTTCTGCATTAATCTCGTTTATATGTACTTGCATTAATTTGGTTGACCAAGAACAAGGTTTTACGTATAAGTTTGTGTGTTGTGTGGGTGTGTGTATATATTAGTATATATTTGGGTTCGATTTTAGAATTTAACCAGAGCCCACATATTTTCTTTCGATTCCATATCTCTAAGATTGCACATTGCAGGCAAAGCGTGCAAGAGGAAACGTGTAAGAAAGGTGCCACAGATCATTCCGAAAAGTGAGCAGTCTAAAATAACTGAAAATTGCTCTCATAATTCTGGTGATTCTGCTCAGAGAGAATGTATCTCTTTGCTTGTAAACTGCAGGCAAAGCGTGGAAGAGAATCAGAAAGATTGAGACCTGACATTATAGAAAAATTAATCTCTCTGATGAGCTCTGGCTTTAACTAAAAAAAAAGGATAGGTGCACAGGAGTGTCTAAGAGACCTGCACTAGTAGGCAACGAGGTGAGCTATTAGTATGAACAATTCTCTTAAAAGCAATAAATTAATTAGATAAAAAAGAAGGCTATGAAAGTGAATTAACTACTGCATTCTACAAGATAATAATTGAATAATTATTACTTGATTACTCTGACTCACATAAATGATTACGTCAAATGTATCTTTTGTATCGTCAAAACGAGTGCAGGTCTCAAAAGCACAACTATTTATTGAGTACTCAAAATAATAATAATAGGGGAAATAAATAAATAAAATAAAAGTGAAACTACAGTTTAGTTTAACCTTTGTGTTGACTAAATTGCTCATTCGTTTTGGTTTGTTCTTTTATTGTTGTTTAGTGTTTTTCTTTTTGGTTAAGCGAAGTATAAGTGTAATAACCTAATTAATAATTTATATATTCTTGTTCTGTTTATTCTGGAGATTATATGTTCTTGGTGTCATCGCATTATTCAGAGTCGTAATAAAAGTTTTAGTAATGGAGTAAGATTACTATTTATGTATCTCTAAGATTCAAAAGATGTGTCTGCGTGTGTGTTTTGTTTGTGTTTATGTTTGGGGAAATTTGTAGAGAAATAATAGCAGATTTCTATATATAATTGTATCAAGTATGAACTCGGCACTATGTCTTCGTTATCTGCTTAGTTGGATATAGTCTTATAACACTCTAGAAACTACAAAATAAATAGTAAGTAATAGTAAGTGTTCACCTTCGATGTGGCTCGTGTTAATTTCTTGTTTCTTTTGTTTTGTTTTTATTTTGCTGCTCAATTTCTAATAAATACCGGAGATAACCCAAGTTTTTGTTGTCTTATTTGTGTGTAGTTTAGTTTTTTTTTATGGGGGTTACAAATGGAATAAACATTGGCCTGTATTTCGGGTGTATTTTCAGACCAATTCAAACATTGTCATTATATAGTATAGCTACGTGTGTGTGTTTGCTGTATTTCTGCTTTTAAGAAATACAATCTCGTCTTATCACTGTGTTTTGTTAATGGATTTTTTCCATAAATCTTTCTTTGTTGTTTTTATTCGTCCTGCCAGTAAGGGAAGTCCCGAAAATTAATAAATAACTACCAAAAGTGTTTGCAGCTTGAGCAATCTTTTGTATCTGCTTACTATTTATATATATATATATATATTATTCTTGCAAGTACTTTTTTCACTTTAAAATTCTGTTTATATTTTTTATGTATTTTGTTTTTTTTAGCTATTATTTTATGAAAATAATCAGGCTAAACAACTGAAAAAATTGTAAGAATTTCAACCATTTGATATAACAAGAAACAAGTAAACTCGTTTAATGACTAGCATTTTTCTTTTTAACTTATTTAAATGGTAAAGAGGAGGCTCCATTTCGTAATAGTAATTAATTGTCTTAGAGGAGTAAAATCTAATTAATATTGAACAATAATTAGCCGAACCAAAGTTCTATATATTTTCCCATATATATATATATATATTTAAAAGATGTTTGTTCTGCAATAAAAAAAATAGAAAAGAAAACAAAAGACCTTTGAGAAAAACCCCCTTTTATCCCCATACATATTCATGTATTTTTCTGTGTAAAATTCTTTCCTTCTTATTTGAAATTCTAATTTAGACAAGCATTGTTTGTAATATTTCTCTCGTTTTCATGTAATAATTTGTTGTTCGTTTTTTTTTTGTTCCTATATAACGGTTATTATTTGTATGATTATTATCTGATGCTGCTGTTTCTATAACATAGAATATTTAAGAATGGATAAAATGCAGCTATGCTGGAAGTACTAGTAAAATTTAGTATCACAGTATTTTATATAAGATCAACTTTTCTTTATCCATTATATATGCGGTATTACTCAAGTCATTTATGTCGTCACATTATTAGTTTCTTCATTCCATTGTTATTATTTAAATATATAAACCAAGTAATGCAGGGTTGGTTGTTGGAAAAAACAAAAACATAAGTAATACATGGAACTCAAGGCAAGTCTTCGAAGGGGAAATACTTACAGTGAGTAAGTTAATGAACAGTTTCAAAAACAAATCCACACAAATCCTTTTTTAAAGTCAAATACATTCTAGATCTTTTGACATTTCTTTTACACTGATGCATCCAGCATATATTTCTCAGATATTAGATTTGCTTTAAGGATTTACATATATCGAAATTGTGGTAAACTTTGATATATCGAATTTTTAAATACCGAAAATGGTCGCATTTAATTTCAAAATATCGATATTGTCCCAAAATATTAGAAAGAATATCGATTTATCATCCATCCATCTCAACGCTTAAAGTATCAATTGATTAATCGACTTTCGTGTGAAATAATTTCTAGATATATCGATCTATTATCATCCCTAGGTTTTAAAATTAAGCAGGAAAAAGGTTCTATGGAGTATATCGAGTTCTATCGATTCCGAGACAAAAAACTAGGACGATGCAGCTAATTTACGCAAAAAGGATAGTTAGATATTAGATAAAGGTGATGCTACAAGCTTCGGACTGTAACTAATCTATTTGGTTGCCTTCTACATATCATAAAGAAATCTACATAATCATTAATTGATCAAATATCTTGAAAATTGGTTTGGAAAGCCTAGGTTGTATATATATTTATATATATGTGTTTATATGATTGTTGAAGAAAGTGGAAAGTACGTATGCAGATTCACCCTAAAGTCTACCTTTGAGTTTATTATTATAAAGCGTGACTTTGTAAGGTTATGTTATTGGTTGTTATTATTTATATAATTTTTATTGTTGTTATCTTTATGTCCTTGCAAATAGCATTACTTAACAACATACATTGCTTAAATCGTTATTGTTTATTTCTCGATTTTACTGCAAAGTTTTTCCATACGTTCCAAAATTGTTTTTATTTCGTAACAATCACTTTTTACCACATTCTCTTCTTCACATTAATCTCGTTAAATAGGCACAAACAGAAGAAATCTAATGAAAGCCCACCTTCATATTTATTTTTCTTTGTTAAGTCTAAGCAGTGTAGCTAAGGCGTATGTATATATATTATATATCTTTATTTTTTATTTATTTATTTGGTTTTCTTTTTTTTAACGAATTTTTAAAGAACGAATCGTGGGAGAAGATAAACAAGGTTGGGATATGGAAGAATCCGTTTTGATATCAACAAAAAACGCCATAATACTCCTTTACTCAGTTCCAGCATAAAGACTACATTCTATTCTATAAATATTCTAGAGCCGTTTTTTATGGATAGAGCATTAGCATCTTTGTGCTTGTTGCTGTTGTTCTTGCTTTTGTTTTTGTTCTGGTTGTTGTTTTTCTTATCATTGTTGTTGTTGCTGTTGCATTGTTGTTGTTGTTGTTGGGAATACAAGGTTGGCAGGTGATTATTATTCTTATTATTATAATAATTAATAATATTATTACATTTATCTGTTGTTGTTCGCTGTTGTTGCGAAAAAGAATTGTTCCTTTCCCTAAAATCTATGTCTTCTAACTCTATTAATTGCTTGCCGTTACTTTTGTCTTTTTTATATAATAATAAATATTATATAGTAGTATCGCTGAATGCAGTCATTCGACAAGCCCGAACTCGTCTTGTTCGATTGGTTTCTTCAGCCAGCTGCCAAGGTCCTCACGCTTGAAGGCCGAAAATAATTCAAGTTTCGCCGTCTGCAGAAGGGGGAACCAATTAATCATAAATAATATATATCACAATACACATATATCCTAAAATAAATAAAGAAGCAAACACACATACCTGGTAGTCCTTAACATTCGCCTTGGTCTGACCATAATCTGTGGTCACCTTGCGTACGGGAATACCCGGCAGATTCTTCATTAGAAATCCATATTTAACAAAGAACGCCTGCTTGGTGATCCGCGACACTTGTCCACCAATGGTACGACCTGTCAAAGAGTTGACCACCTCCAGTTCGGTATCACCGATGGTCCAATTAATGCCAAAATTCGGTGCCTTGGCTTGATTTCTCGGCTCCGCCGATGTGACCAGGGCCAACCGTGGCTTATTCAAATGATACGGCGGTGGCAGACCCTGAATTGACTTCTCAATTCGACCGCAGACGGCACGGTACATGTGCTCCGGATGCAATAGGCTGCCCAGGACGATCGAATGCAGGTATACGGGTTCAATAATGGAAGACAGCAAGGAACCTTGTATGCCCACAATGTTCCAGCGAGCGATTTTATCCGAACAGGACATGGTTAGCAGGCGTTGTCCCTGAAGAATTAAAGATACAGATTCATTAATTCAATTTCCTTGGATTTATATTATATATATATATATATATTATATAATTATCATACCTGCAATACCCCATCCCAGGTCTGAATGCCATCGCTGCTTTTGACTGGAATTGTGCCCTCTCCGGATTCTATTTTGGTGCGCAATTGGCCACGGGCTTTTCTGTTGATTTTGATGATAATTTTTGTTCATGGAAATCGCGGCATTTGCAAGAAAATATATGGGACGTGAGAGAGATATATATATCATAATTATTTGCCAGATCGAAATTGGAGAGTTTCGGGTACATGCCAAGAGGGGAGAAACAGAACTTTCCTTTAAACTTGACTGGTTTCATTTGTTCTCTTGCTCTCTAAATGAAATATATATTATATATATATGCATATAGTATATATATTATATTTTCAATTACATAATTTCTTATTCATTTTTCAAATTAAATTTAAATCTGTTTATGTCCTGAAAATGATGTTCTATATTTTATAAATCCTGACTTGACTGAAATTCGTACAACTTCTTCATATATATATATTATTTGTGTATTGTTAAGAGTCTTTATAATTGGGAGTCTATGTATTTTATGGTTATTAATGCAGACAGACATCTGGGAAACAGTTGGGAAATATTTAAATGTCATTCGATATCTATTTACTTTTTTTGACTAGTGTTTACAGAAAAGTGTGTATTGTTTTTTAAAAAAATAATAATAACATCTAAATCTCTTCTTATTATATTATCAAATGATTAACTACATATACAAATCAAAGTTCAAATTTGTATAGCTGGAAAAGCATCAAGGTTTTCCATTGAAAATCAATTTCAAATCGATTAATTTCGATATTTTTTCTTGGAAAAGCCAGACTTAAAATGACTTTAAGATCAGATAAATTATTAACCTTAAATTCTATACACACAGTGGGTGCAAAAGCAAAAGTCATCTGGTAAAGTTAAGAAAAAATACAGATGTTTCCCGAATGAAAAATAAAACCGAATGAAAAATAACATTTAAGAAATATAGCTTTTGAAGGGGTATAGGAAGGTCCCAATATATATAAACAATGACGCTTTTGCCTGCAATGTACAAGTCAAGCAGCACCAAGAAGCTTATAAGTTCTACCAAAGCTGATACAAGACTAATACTATAATTTATAAGAATTTGTTTCTTATTATATTGGGAATGTATAAAAACAAATAGGTTAAAGATGCTTAACGCCAGACGATTTTTGCCTACAGATACATTATAGGCACGCAACTGTATGTATACATCTATTAAAGTAAATACATATATATATATATAGATACATTTATATTTGAAATTATATATATGTATAAATATATATATATATATATAATAAAAAGCATACAATAACAAAAAAGCCTATCAAAAACATATAAATAAAATTGTTTCTTTTTTCTAACTTGTCTTTTGAACTTTTCTCTTTTAACAAATTACCGAGAGAGTGTAAATAATTAACATAATATATAAAACTATTGTTGTTGTTGATGTTATTATTTTGTTGTTGTTGTTGTTGTAATAATAAAGTAGCAAGTATTTATAAAATATCGGTAGTACCAACCTATTTGGATGTTTATCAACACCTGTGTCGTTTTCGTGAGGACTAAATATCCGTGCATCCCCACAAGGTGCTGTATTTATATACAAATGGAAATGTACCCCGGATTTTAGTTTATAAGGGTATTGCCCATCAGTATTCCTCACGAAAATCGACTGATATGCTGTGGCTAAATTTAAGAGAAAATTGAATAAGAGTAATCAAATTGTAAAATTAAAGTAAAATTATATAGATTTATGTTTTTTTGTTTGTTTGGTTTTTTTTTCTTGCATTATTTCTTTTCACCCATACACACACAAGTATATATGAAAAGAAGTACGATCACAAAGCAATACAAACACAAAGCAGAACGGGCGAGGGGGCGAAAGCATAAAGCCAATAATTGATAAATAAATCATAAATATCGATATTTATCGTTATTTTCTGGTAGATATATCAAACGAATACATGCGGAAATACACATATTTGAATATCGATATTATTAACTTTTAAAGCAATATTCATTGATGTAAATATATTTAAGTTTATGATATGTTCGAAGAAATATCGAGCGCGTTTACTATATACCCCAAATATTCCTTTGTTTGTGGAATAAAATAACTTGGTTGCCTGTTTCAGTAGTAATTAAGCTTTCAAATAGCTAAAAATAACTCAATAAATTGTTTAAAAAGTTGTATGATATAAATGGGAGTTTCATTTAAAGTATAAACCCTCCGAAAGATGGAAGAATTATTGAAACGGACAAGACGAGATATTATCAATGCTTTGTTTTTGGGGAAAAATAGTAAACAAATCAAAATAATATGGTACTTGGTATCTTTCTGAACAAAAAAAAAATATAAGAAACACACAGAATGAATTGATAACAGCAAGGGTCCAAAAATATGTATCTAAATTACTCTATATAATTATTTTACTATACTTAGTTCATATATGTATATGTAGTCATAACTTAGCATTAGCAACAAATAACTATACCCTGATTGCACTGGAGATCCAATTGGGCATACAAGTATTTGAGAAGACAACGTCTGGAGACTATTTCGGCATGAGAATCATTTAAGACAGCTCCATTCACACTCATATGCTCCCCGCTGACGCACTTGGTGCCCGTTGAAACTGAGATAACCTAGAGGAGAGTGTATAAAAATACAATTTATATAGTTCGAATGATGAGTACTTTAATCGTACTTACTTTGGCGTCACAAAAATTCATGTTTTCAGTCATTACAATGCCCGCTAATACCTTTCGCCGCGAATATGCCTCCTGGCCCTTGATAACCTCCATGAATTTCTCCAGCACGAGACGTCCAATTGTATCGGCATGGATCTGTGGCAACTCCATGGACGAGGATTTGTCGTCGATGGGCAGTGGCACGTTCTTTTGCGGCACAACCATGGGACTGTACGAGATGTTGCATAGCGAGGCCAGGGCTGCCTTGGCAGCGGCATTCTTGGCCAGCTTTTTCGAAGGTCCTTTGAATAGAAAAGATATTAAAATTTTGTTTACTTTATTTTGCTTAATTATAGGTTTCAGTGGAACCTTGAATGAGGCAACTATATGTTTTTATACCCATGCAGGGTATTATAAATTTAGTCATAAGCTTGTAATAATGTGAAGGAATGATTTCCGACCCTATAAATCATATATATTCTTGATCAGCATCAATAGGCGAATCTTTCTAGCTATGTCCGACAAAAATTAAATTTTTTTCGAAATTATCAATATTTTTCATCCTTAAAATTGTCGAAAAAAAATTGGTAAAAATTTGAATTTTTAAAAAAATATCATTGAGTATGAAAATTTATTAAGCTAAGAAAAACTAACATAGGGCAGGTTTCCGAATCAAAATTGGCGCTTTTTTGGCTTAGTTATGATATTTTTTAACTGTGATTTATCGAAAAAACGGTCATATGAAAATTGGATAACACCCTATGAAAACTCTTATTAATAAAATTTAAAAATGCAGCATCATATCCGCATAATTAGTATACATACCTGTTCCATCGAATTTCTTTTCATTTATGGTCACCGTCATCTTGAAACGACAATTATTCTGAGCACCATCGATATTATTGCATTCGAAATTAACATCATTGAAGAGTTCATAGAGCAGCATGACCGGACCCTTGTCTGGAACCTTCTTTTGGCCGTCCACAGCAATGGCACTCTTGCTAACATCTACCAAAAAAAAACACAAAAGAGTTAGTGAAAATTGTTGATTGTTCCGTCATTGCCGAGATGCGACTCTTAACCAGCTATAATAATGTTCTCTCCAACCATATAGTATTATTATTATTATTTAATTATTATTATTGTAAGACAAATGGAAGGAAAACGTGTTTAATTAAATATTATGCAAATTGCGAATGAATAAATATTTTTTTTTAATATGTATTTAAGATTTTTTTCTCACAGTTCAAATGATATGTTTTAAAGAAATATATAAATAATATAATATGTACGTAGCAAAAATGTTATATATTATTATATGGACAAAACTTATTCACTTATTTACACATTACACAATTACAATGGAGGGGAAATATCGAAAAATAAGCATAACTGCCAAACTAATAAAAAGAACATACTATTACTTAATGGAAGAAGCAACAATAACAAAAACAAATTAAATTGTTAACAAAAACTTGGTAATTGTTCTACCTTTAAATGTAGATCTGTAAAAGAATCGAATGTTTTGGGAGACAAAAATCGGTTACAATTAAGGCAATGAGTAAAGAAATACACTTAAAAGCATTTAATGAAATAATAAAATATATAATTAAATTATATTCCTAATAAAATAATTTTATTGTTATTTTTAATATTACTGACATATAAATATTAAACGCATAGAATATTAAATAATTCCTTTATGAAATATCACTTAAAATCATAACGAAAGTATCACAAAGTTTGATATCAATCAGCATATAAATTTTAAAGATTTTGATCAATAAATGACTTTTTATACCTTAATTTAAATTTTAATTAATGTAAAAGCTTTGGCTAAATTTTAAAATAGATATCTGAAACAATTATTTCTTCTTTTTTCCCCTAAAAATATATTTACTTTATTATTTAAAAATATTTCTAACCTGATGCAACAGCATAAAGATGCAATTCTTGAAATAAATGTAAAGATTGCCATTCATATATGTATAAATATAATCCGCATTCAAATCATGTATAGAAAAAATTATGATTAAATAATAAAATTAATAGATATTGAAAACAATAAGGGAAAGTAAGGAAAAACGAAAAATTTTACTAATACTTGCTCTGACTCATGCAAAAGATTTGTAGACGCAACGTGGGTTGTTCAAGCGAGGTAAGGTTGGAAATCTTTTTAGTCAACACCAACGTCTCATTGAGTTTCACCAATATTTGATTGGATTTATTTTCAATACCATTTTCGAGATGCTCATCGCTGGTAAAGTCCAGGTTGCCCGATGGCTTTAATGGCGACAGGACAGCCCCATCCTTGAACTGTATAAAGCTTCGCAGTGCGGTGGCAGCTGCTTCGATGCGTGCTACTTTTTACTGCGTCCCTGGCCCAAATATTTCTGTCCATCGACCTGTAAATCGAAAAGAGATAACAAATGATAACTAAGATACATGGAACAATTCGTAACGATAATAAATATTTTTGGGGTTTCCACATATCGATTTGTGGCCCACGCCAAAGCAGATGCAAATAGATCAAAACAAACCTAAACGATTGTCCCTTTTGTTTATTGCATTTACTTTGTATAAAGTGTACTAGTTGCTTAATATTCCACCTTAACGTTTAGCTGTCATGCACTTTTTTATTGCCCACTCTCACCCTCTCACTCTCTATCCTTATCGATCTATTGATATGTCATTTTCAATGAGCTCGCGTGGAATATATATAATATAATATATGCATACCCAAATGATGCCATAAACGAAATAGTTTTGAATATATCAAGTGATTTTCATACATAATGCATAAAGGCAGCAAACATATGTTAATCATAAACTATTAATATCGATTGGATATAAAAAAAAGTCACCTTATTCTTAATAGTATCTACATTTAGAGGTAGAACCTATTTCGGAATGCTAGTTGTATTTTTATTAAAACAGTATTGGTTATTAAGGAACCCTATTTAAAAACTTTATTTGATAGCTTGCATTTAAGAGAGAGCGAGAGAAAGAAAAGGAAAGATACCAATTGAGGGAATTTTTTGATTCCGTTTATAATGGGATTCCCGGGCAACCATTTAGTGAAAAGAAACTTTATATGAACATTAAGTTACTATGATCAGTTTATAACTATGATCAATAATTACCTAAGAGCAGTAAGCAAGTATCTATGACCAGTAAGTAACTATGATCAGTAAATATCTATGACCAGTAAGTATGTATAATCAGTTACTAACTTTGAACACTAAAAAACAATGACTTGCAACTTTTGTAACACAACACATTTCTGATACTAGGCTGGCAGCAGTCACTTCGTTCCGGGGATGTTTGAACCATTTGGGAATCATATGCACAGATGTGCGAGATTTGTTTTTGAGCAAAGTTAAGAGCAAGCTATTTGAATGAAACTATGGAGTTATTCGTCTATATAATTTTACTAGTATGTAAGTCGGGACATGGCAAATCGGTGGACTATATATATACATATATATAGCTGACATAGGAACAATCAGACGATTTATAGAATTTTTGATCAGTAATTAGGTATGACCATAATTAACTCTGAATAGTAAGTATCTATGACAAATAATTAACTATGATTGGTAAGTATCTATGACCAGTAAGTAACTCTGATCAGTAATTAGCTTTGACCAGTAAGTAACTCTGAACAGTAAGTATCTATGACCAATAATTAACTATGATTAGTAAGTAACTATGACCGGTAAGTAACTCTGATTATTAAGTATCTATGACCAGCAAGTATGTATGTATGTATGATCAGTTACTAACTTTGAACACTTGTAAACAATGACTTGCAACTTTTGTAACACAACACATGTCTAAGACTAGGCCGGCAGCAGTCACTTCGTTCCGGGGACGTTTGAACCAGTTGGGAATCATAAACACAGATGTGCGAGATTTGTTTTTGAGCAAATTTAAGAGCATTTGAATGAAACTATGGAGTTATTCGTCTATATAATTTTACCATGATATAAATCGGACCATGGCGAATCGGTGGATTATATATATACATATATATAACTGCCATAGGAACAATCGGACGATTTATAAAACAAAAATTATAACTTTTCCAGTTTTCAACAGATTTTCATTAAATTTGATATATAGCCATTAAATATTAATCTAAAATTTTCTGTGAAATTTTATGAAAATCAGACTACTATATCATATAGCTGATCTGGTAGATGATACAACAAAATATAGAAAAATGCAAAACGGTGTATGTAAAACTGTAAATATAAAATGTATATGTAAATGAAAGGCATTACTTTATTATTTTTTAACATAAATATATATATTTATAATTTATGCAAGGGTATAAAAACTTCGGCATGCCGAAGTTGGCTTTCTTTTCTTGTTAAATATATATGTATATGAAATATATGTAAATAACTCACCTCAACGGATATCGTAAATAAGGGTGCGTGCACCGGACCAGTCTGTGACTCCAATTTGTAAATCAGTCCATGTCTTAACTCATTCAGCATTGCTACTGTATTCTTCGGCTGTGGTATGCGTTCCTTACTTGTTTTCTTTTTTGGCGGAACTGTGAAAAATCCAGAATATACGCACATTAATTGGTATAATTAAAATATATATTATATATCTATGACGGACACTTACCAGCATATTTTGGCATATCATAACGCCGTTTTTGTGGCGACTTTCGGTTATAGCCATTCATATTGATTTCAGATGGTGCAGTTACCGGCTATATGGATATGGTATATCATACAAAATAATTAATAATGTCCAGTCAATCGTTATAAATATTTATTTCGAGGATGTCGATTTTTGAGACAATCAAAGGACATGTACAGTACAACAACAAAGCATTCACAACTTTCCATTTAAGGACCTGTTTTTTTTTTTTTTTTTGTGTGTGCATGTATGTAGAAATTTATTTAAGATGAAAGATCATTGAAATTAATCAATTAAATATAGATTTCTTTTATACTAAAATATTTAGAAAAATAGTTTGTATTGTATTTATTACAGATAGAACAAAAAACTAAAGGTAAATCGTTTAGAAAAGCTTGAAATATGTTGTAGTTCCATTTCTTATTAATTATAGGGGAACATATTGATTTTCTATAAACATTATTTATAGATTATTAATAATTTTCTCTTAATTATGACTACGTACATACATACACACACACAATATTAGTTTTTAGTCACGGTTACAGCACAACAACATCGATACTATATGTATATATTATATAGACAGTTATAACAAGACGATTTTACTATTAGCGTAACATAGGAAAAAAAATTGTAACTTTAAGAGATAATTGTTATATCCTCTGTACCTAAAACCTATACAAGGTAATATGTTTTTTATGTTCTGTATGCAGATATTTAGCTCCTATTTTGGGCTTTTCCCTATGGTGTTTCATTAGTTTGTTTTTCCATCACCATTACTTTACATTACTTACATTGTAAGCCATATATGAGGGACGCATTATACGATGTTTTAAAAAAAATCTCGACTTTTTGCTAGAATAGCTTGAAAATTGTTGTTGCTGTCGTTGATAATAAATGGATGTCTTGGCTATACGCATGGCATTATGAGGATGAGGATGATGATGATGATGACGATAATCCTTTTGGTAGTGAAAGTGTGATTTATGCCACCCTCTCTGCACTGGCTTATAGGATACAGGATACATTTTTTGGTTTAATTCTATCCAATATAATCCCTATGCTCAGAATAAAACTAAAACCGAGACCGAGACGACCGAATATCGTGTTCAACTTAGCGACGACTGATGATGATTTTTTCGAGTTTCCCGGCTAAGCACTGACATTTAACTGACAACGACAAAAGCAATCTGCGGCTAATTTTATAAAAGGAACTGAAATTATGAAGAAGGAAAAAAAAAATAGAGATACATGTGTATAAGACACATGCTGGTACGTGTATAGATAATTTGCACGACTAGCCCTGTGCATTTTTAAGAAGCTCGATATTTATATACCCCTTTTTAAGGGAAGGAATATGATTTGCCCATCAAAAAAAAAAAAAAAAACTACACAAAAATGTGTCTAATTTGGGTGTTAAAAAGACCCTCAGATAAAGTAATTTAATGTACTAATATTTAATAGATTTTACTCTATAATTTATGATACTATTATTATTTTTGCGACAGTGTGCGCTTGTGTCGTACAATTTTCCCCGAGGACAAGCTGATGCTTTTGTACTGATAAAAGCACAACTTTTTGCTAGAATTGCCGCCACAGATCGGAGATTTGTAGAATTAATGAAAGGTCGAAACGAAATTACATCAAAATTTGGATGCCGGTGGAGCGGTAATTGCTGCAGCAGCTGCTGCATCACCACAAACTCAGAGATGCATGAATTGCATTTGCGTATCAAAATTTGCAGTAATCAACGACACAGCATTTTTAAATAAATACAAAACTGTGTGTATATGTGTGTGAATTCTATACTTTGGGGATATACATTTTCATATCTCTATCTGAAGCAAAATATATTTTTGGTCCCCAACTTTAGTTCGAATGGAATGATCTTGGTGTATTTGTGCGGCTCTTGCAAATTTCCAAAATACCAAGATATTAGTTTCATAAAAATATATCTATGTGACCAACTTAATAACAAAAAGAAAAAAAAACACATTAACTTGAAGTAGAATTTAAACATGCCAACATTAAGACTAATGTTAAATGTGAATGGTAGTAAATCTTTGCATCATTATATATAAAGTAAGAAAAGGTAAGCTATGTATTGATTTTTAATCGATATTTGCATTAAATGAAATCAAAACTAGTTAGGCTCGAGACTTCCTCTTAAAATTGCTTTGTTTTTTTTTTTGTTTAGCATTTCGAATTCATTGCAACATAATTTTATATAAGAACACACCTGTGTTTCGAGTGTCATTCGTGTCGGACGGACATTTGAGGGCACAAATTTGAAAAGTTTAATATAATCAAGATCAGCTCTCGGTATTTGTGCATTAATACGAACTAGAATATGCATAATTAATAAATAGAATCATATCATTATTATGAATTATTAATTAGCTATCTCTGCCCAAAAGTTTGGGAAGTCTTAAATCTACGCATAAGCCAGAAGAATCGCAAGATTCGGTACTAATCATAAGAAATAAACTTGCAATAACTTAAAAAGAATAGAAAAGTTGCAGTTTTTTTGCAAATATAGTTTCTGATATGTTCTATTTCGATTTAGGGAACAATAAGACTATAATCATCTGATTTTGAATGCAAATATTGAAAATAATGTAATATTCTATACATTTTCAACAGACTATAAATGTGTATTTGTAAATAAAGCCTTTAATCCTAGTTAGGTTAGGGTTTATATATGTATCCTTTACTAGGATAAGGAAACCTTAATTATAGTACATCAACACTTAAGCAAGGAATCCCACTTTTTTTTAAACACTTAACCATGCTTGAAAGACAGAGACATGCAGTGCACTATGATAAGATAGAAGTAGACAGAAATGCAAGTATGCAGAAAATGAAGAAAATGTAGAAAATGCGGAAAATGCACATATATGCAAGCATGCAAAAATATATATAAACAAGGCAAGGAAAAATCGACTAATTAATGACGTTTTTCGTCTACTTACATGCTGGAGAGAATTGTTATTTGCGCTGTTTAACATGACTTTGGAATCGAATTTCACTTTTATGTACTTTATATAATGTCTTTTGCTCAAATCTGTTGTGCTAATTTTTGATTGTGATTTTCAAATTATGTCGATGAGATAACACCAATTTTATTATTAATTGTAAACTCGAAAACTCCGATTTAAAATTAACCAAAAAAAAAATTAAGTAAGCAGTTTCAAGAACAACAAAATAATTGCTAATTACTAATTATTAATCAATTAAATATACAATATACGAGACAATTTCTGAATTAAAGGGAGAAAGCCTAACTGCAAGAATATGCTTGTCTAGATTTGTTCGATCGAAAAAAAAACGATAACGATAGCTTTACAAGTATTATGCAAAAATCAAGAGCATATTTTTCTATAAATTTCAGTTAATAACTGATTTTTACACAAGTCAAAATGGCAAAAACCAAAACAAAAAAGTATACATATATTTTACACGCAGAATGAATAGTTTTCGATAAAGAACTGCCCTGACTTTTCGATTTGGCATCACTTCTATTAGCCGGAATCGTGCTACACTTCTTTTTTTGTTTTTGTTGTTTTTTTTTTGTTTCTTAAAAACAAACTAACGTTGTTGTATGGCCCCACACACATACTAAAGTGTGTGCATGGGAAATACACATGTACCTATGTATGCTGTCTTGCATGTTTTTAGTTACATGATTTAATCGATTTTCATACACTCACTCTCGGGTATTATGGCATTTGCATAGCATACACTATAGCTATAGTTAGCCGATACTTTGTCAGAACAATTAGGTAATTAGACTTAACATACAATGTATGTATGTATATGTACATATGTATGTATGTAAATTTGTCAAAATTCACGTCTTTTGGTGTGAATGTAAAAATCAGACTCGGTGTCACCTTTTTGTTTTTGTTATTTACCGCAATTGCACATTCGACAAAGATACAAATGTACGTGTATATGTAGGTATGTGTACGTGTGCTCTGGGCACGACCCTATTGAGTGGGTTACAAAGCCAGAGCACAGAGAGGTAGAAAGAAAGAAAGAAAGATAGAGAGAGAGAGTATGCATGCGTATGCTGCCAAGAAAGCGAAACGGAAAAGCACCACTCACTGCAATGCAGCAGCAGCAGCAGCAGCAGCAGCAGCGGCGGCTAACGAAGGCGATGCAAAGTGGGGGGGAAAACCTTTTCCTCTTCCATGTGTGTGTGGGTATGGGGAGGACGGTACATCGTAATGGGTTACGTCGCACTTTTCCACACACACACACACATGCACAAACACGTGGAGGGGGCCGGAAAACTGCACCAAAAGGTGGGATTTTCGATTGCTCCCCCTCGCTTCTCACCCCAAGCTTTTCCTTCGTGGTCAGCATCAGTTTACATGCAAGGGATGTCATGTAATGTAAATAAAGTGTGTCCGTCGCATGTCAAAGTTATTCTTTTTCATTATCGCAATATTTATCAACTGCTCCTCGTCCTCTTCCCCAACCACCTTTCTGGTTGCATTCTCGTTCGCCCTTTTTATTTGCATTAATGCCCAAAATACAAAGATACAATACATACATACACTTTGGCTTCGCATGTATGTGCACACACATGCATACTTTAGTGTGTGTGTGTGTGTGTGTGTGCTGTGTGTGTGACTGTGTGTTGGTTTTTGGTTGTGCCAATGGTTTTGTTCTTTTTGCTACTGCATACCTTTTTTTGCGTTTGCTTTGCTTTTGGGAACGAGCTCTAATTATTGATTTTTACTTCGCTGTATCGGTAGTGTTTTTTTTTTTTGCATTTGACAAGCCACAAATATATATACGGTCCTTCTGCTCTCACTTAATGTTATTTATTATCGCCGGAGGAAGAGGGGGGAAAGGGGATTCGGATGCACCGCTATTGCTGGTGTTTGGGAGAGCCGTGTATATTTTGTTTAATTCGGAGCGGCACTTTGGAATAAAAATGAATGAAGCGCACGCACACACTCACTCACTCACACACACACACACGCACATAACACACACTCAGCCCTGCCGCCGTTGAGCCCTTGCAGAAATAAACAAATCAACTTTGTTTCCTTTGATCCTCGGCGCTATATCCTCGGTTGCGTTAAGGGATTTCGGGGTATTACAATCGCACTGCACTACTTAATATTACTGATTGGCTCGTAGAAAAAAAATAACAATTAGTTCACGGCGTTAGCAACTTTCAGATGTTTGGATATATATTAGTATCGATATCTAGATACATGGCTGCTTCGTGACTATCTGTTTGCTTGAGATAGTGTTTGCGCTATCGATATCTGCAAGATAAAACGGAAGCAAAGTTTCTCACCTATTTATAAGACTTTCTCTGGTGTATTTCTTCGAAAATACCATATATGTATATAAAAGACATTCTTTGAAATTGATGTAAAAAATGATATTTGAAGGTGATATAATAATTAATAATTTATGGTAAATAAATTGTACGGGCACAAAATGCGTGCTCTTATACAAACTGTACTCTCATGCAGACTACAGTCTTATACTGTGCACTGGTTAACAGAATGTTGTTACATTGCTACAGCAAAGTTCACAACCTAAAAGAGTTGTATGGCAAAGAAACTGTAATATACGGTTTAAACACAGCGTTGCATTCTATTTGAATTCAAATAGCTTTTAAAATAACAGGTTTTTAAAACGTAGATATTTGCCAAACATTAAAAATCATTTCCAATTCAAGTTTCGTATCCTTTTACTTTCCCTCCCGCTGACGCTTCTCGATCAGTCTTTGGGAGCGACGCAATGCGGGACGAGCGGGTTCCACAATCACTTCCTGTGGCACCTAATTGTCACAGGATAAAAGAGGTAGTTAAGGATAAGAGCCTCTTGGTTTAAATGGGGATGAGATAATTACCCGATGTTCGTTGCGGCATGTGCACATAACGACCAAAACCAGGACGAACATGCCAACTACGCCTACAAAAAGAGGGGATACGATATTATTATAATAATAAATCAAAGCGAAAGGAAGGCAAAAAGCCTCTATAATCTAGAAAATGCATAACACACAGGCAATTTTGATGAAAGCGAAAAGTTGTTCTTTGTTGTACTTACCAACGAATATATCACACAGAATCATTACAAACATTTTTACAATTTACAGCAAACGGTAAAGAACGAAGAAAATATATATTTGAAAATATTACTGAGCACAAAAATATAATCTTGGCTGATATGAATATTTCTATATTTTGTAAGCACAAGGTCTTGCTTCTAGGGATTCCAAAGTTAGAGTGAAAACATATAGTTCTGAGCTTACTTCGTTAAATTTTCGTGCCCGTACTTTGATATTTTAAATTGTTAACAGGTACCTTTAAAAAAAAAAAAGAATTATAGGGGAAATACGTCAAAAGAAAACCCTATATTAAAGAAAAGTGTAAGATATTTTACATCTGGCAATGTTATAATCCCAAAAGTCTATCTTTTACAGGTGTTTTTTTGTACTCTTTCGAGATAGCAAAATTGTATCTTGCAGAAACCAATAAATAGTAGCAAGGTGAGCGCCACCACACACACCTGTAACTTATCATTACTTTCTATATAATTATTCACTATTCATTATTAAAGCTTCTTGGTGAAAGAGAGAAGATAATGGAAAAATGCAGCCAACGAATGCCGGCGATAAGAAGCATCTACAGCCACTATAAAGCCATGGAAGATTTCCATGGAGGTCATCACAAAGCCACCAAGATGCAGTCAAGTCAGAAGCAATTCATTACCATTCTCCTCTCCCTGCTTGTGTTTCTCTGGCCAGGATTGGGTGAGGCTGCCAGCGCCAAGTCCTCGCCGTTGGCCAATTGGCGTTTCAGTGATCCCCATTATACCAGCAATCAATATGCCAAGATTCTGGGCGATTCCGGCCTGGGCCATGATCCCGATGACAAGGACAAGAAGGATGTGGGAATCAATCTCAATCCGGAGCATCTGCAGATCCAATATGTGGACTATCAGCCGCAGTGTCAGTCCGGTGGAGTGCCCGTATGTGCCACCAATGGCACTGAAACCTTCTATTTCGAGAACGATTGCCGCCTGGAGGCGCACAATATGAAAATGTTGTTTCAATATGGAACAGGTGAGTCCACAGGATGGATCTTTCTCTCTCTCTGGAAATCTTTAGCCTCTGTTTTGCAGAGCTGGAGCCCACAGAGATGGAGCGATGCCTGCCCAGCTGCCAGGCCATAAAGTGCACAACCGTGGAGCGTCCAATTTGCGTTCTGGCCGAGACCAGTGGTGCACTGCCTCAGACCTTTGCCAACGAGTGCGAGATGCGGCGATGCGAGTGTCATACGAAGCAGGGTTTGTTTGTTATTAAATTCAATTAATTAGCGAAAATATATATCATTTGTGATGCCTTCTAGTCCTGCGTATCCTGCACCAGGGTCGCTGTCAGCCGCCCACCAAAAGTCTGCGCAAAAAGAAGCAGCGCCGGAATAAGAAGAAGCCTTTGAAGACCACCTCGAAAATGAGTAGTGAGCCCAAGAAGATCTACTACCTGATGGCCACTCCTCCTCCTGCTCCTGCTGCCACAACACCTAGATCGAACAACAACAACAAGCGATGGCTTAGCATGCCACGAAGGATTACCACCACGCCCAGGACAATGCCCACCAAATCGACCAGCACCAGTCCCTCGCCTATGAAATTCCAGCAACTGATGGCCCTGGCCAATCCCATGGTCTCCGTTTCACGGGCCGTCGATGCCTACAATGTCTACAACATACCCGATGTGGGTCAGGATTATGGTGAGATCACAGATTCCTCACTGTCGCTCTATCTGCCGGGTGTGGGTCGGGTCACAGAGGCGACTACTAGCACCACAACCACAACTACGAGGGGAACTAGCCATTCCCCCAATAGGATTACTACTACAACAGCACCCAAGCCCCTGCTGACCACCAGCAGCCATAGAGCATCATCATCATCATCTTTAATTATGACAGAACCCATGGCCACCACCACCACCATCTCTAGGGAGCCCGTTTTGCCCAGCACCCAGGCCCTAAGGGAGGAGCAGAGTACTCTGGCATACCTGGAGGCGGTAACCCTTGGATCAAGTACCACCACCCAGGAGTCGACGACCAAGACCAAGAGTCGTTGAGCCTCCCAGGAGAAGTCCCAGCTATAATTTATATCAACCCTGTATTTATATAGATATAAAGCGGATCAATATTGAGAAATCTTGGGTTTTCCATGGGTTTTATAAAAAACAGAACAAGAAAAGTAAATTGGGGATATAGATTGTTAGGGAAATTTAAAGATTAACAAATGAGGAACTTAACTTTGAGAAGTTAGTTACCCATAAGACATGGGATGAGAATGAGCATTAGGATACTAATATATTTATAAATTATATTTAAGAAGTTAAGAATTATTTAATTTCTTTAATCTAGATTTAGGCCTGATTCGTCATATAGCCTCTATGTAAGTATATACAAGACATATATATAATATAATCATGGTTAAGACTTACCCCAGTAGATGACATCCTGTTTAATCAGTGCTTACTTCCTTCCTGTGTAGAGCTCACTTTAATTGGGCTTTTCATCATCATCAGCAAAGTGAGCTTCATCCTGGTTCTCCACATACATTGCATTGGCCACGTCATATCATATATTTGGGATCGATCCCAATCACTATCACAATCACTATCACGATGTTGACACTGCGGAGGCCGCGGACTGACTGAAGCTCAGAGCGACTCAGCGGCGGTATTTATAGTCTCCGAGCAAGGAGAAGAGCAGAGAAAGTGAGAGCGAGAGCGCGCAAGAGAATAGAGAGGAAGCGGCCTCTTGAGCTACACAGAGATACAGAGAGAGTTGGATATACAAATTAATGATCGTTTCAATGGCAGCTATATGATATAGTCGGCCGATTTTTATAAAATTAAAATCGAAATGCTAAAATAATACAAAATGACTATTATTAATTTTTAAATATATAAAAAATTTGTATACAGAATATATTTTAATAATTTAAAAATAATATATATATATAATTAGTATATTTAAATAGAGAATCGAAATACGTATGTATTTTTGCAATAATTTGAAATATACGGATTTTAAAAACTTAAAATTAAATTTTTGTATATATGTATATATTTTTAAGAAAATCCAATTTTAAAAATATCATAACTTGGCCAAAAAGGCATTAATTTCAAATCGGAAAGCTGTCCTGTGTTAGTTTTTATAAGGTTAACAAATCTGCATACCATTTAAAATGTAAAAAAATAAAAAAATTTAACAATTTTCATTTGACAATTTTAACTCCTTAAAAAATGTCAAAAAATTGGAAAATTTTAATTTTTGTCTGACATAGCTAGATCGATACAGTTTTTAATGCTGATCAAGAATATATATAATTTATAGGGTCAGAAATGACTCCTTCACTGCGTTTTAAGCTTCTAACTACAATTATATTACCATTCTTCAAGTCTTTATTTATCTATATTTTCTATGCGATTTTTTTCTAAAAATAAAATTTTAAAAAATCCATAACTAAGCCAAAAATGCATTCATTTTAATTCGGAAAGCTGTCCTGTGTTAGTTTTTATTAGGTTAACAAATCTGCATACTCCATTTAAAATGTTAAGAAATTTAATTTTTTACTTCTTTTTTTTACGATTTTAATCACTTAAAATTTAAAAAAAAAATTTTAAAATTTAATTTTTGTCTGACATAGCTAGATCGACTCAGTTTTTGATGCTGATCAAGAATATATATGGTTTATAGGGTCGGAAATGACTACTTCATTGCATTTTAAGCTCCTAACTAAAATTTAGATCGATATTGAAGATTTTTTTAATTTTTAGAAAAATATAGAAATGACTAACCCTTGGTTTACAAAAAAAAAATAAAACACAGCACTTGTTTATTTTTTATGAACTTTTGTTTATTTTTTTGTTCTTTTTTCAAATTTTCTTTGTTTTCTTCACTTTTTTTGTTGTTTTCTGTTTTGTTGATTTTTTTTTAGTTTTTTTTATATTGTATTTTTAGTTTCATTAATACTAAGTGTGTGTGTGTACGCATTAAAGTTAAAATATATTTTGTTTTTAATGTTTTCAATTGGTTTCCATATGCTCATTTGTTTAATGTTACATAACTGCTAGCTTCCTTCTCCTTTATTATTAATTATGGGCTTACTAAAAAGTGTGTTTTTATATTATATTTAATATATATATGTGTGTGTATATATATATATTTATATGTTTGTATCTGTAGGCTAAGAATGCTACGTGGGGGTAGAGAGTTACATCTAAAGTCGTGTGTAAATGTTAGGCGATCCCAAAATGTTTGTTCCCTCCCCTAGATCCTGCAATGAATAATAATTAATAATCAATATTCATTAATTATTATTTGTTTATTATTAGCGGTAGGCGCTTAAGGCTAAGGATCATTTTACTTATTTTATTATATAATTTGTTTTCGTTATAGAAAAAGTGTTTCTTTTAGTGAGTTCCTTGCTATATGTTACATGCAGCTTGCTTGGATGAATGTCATAATGCCCAAGGGACACATCGTTTTATTTTATTTATTTATTTTTTAAGGTACAACAAAAGTACAACAATGAATTGCTAATTAATGCCAAAAAACAAACGCATCCTTTGCTCGAGAGTTGGGCACTTTGATCAAGAATTGGACTCGAACTCGCTCGTTAAAATATAATATTTATTTATATTATATTTCTATATAATAGTGTGTTTTCTCTTGATTTATATTTTCCTGAATTAAAAACTTCGTTTTTTTTTGTTTTCAAATCTTTTTTTTTTGTATTTTGTATTTAGTTTTTCTCAAGATTTATTTTGTTTTCGTACAATTCTCTCTCACTGAATTAAATGCTAAAATTAAGTATAGAAAAAAAAAGGTATCTCTTTCTTGTATATATATATATGTGGTATTTTCTGATGTATGCTTTTCTTGTATATATATACTATATATATTTAGGGTTTATTTTGTTATAATATATATAATTCCTTCCTACTCATCGATCTCTCTCTCTCTCTCTCTATAATTTACACACAAAACGAAAGCGACAATATAACAACTGAGGGTGTGAGGGCCTTGTGTGTGTGTGTGTGTGTGTGTGTGTGGGGAGAATCTATCGGGGAAGACTCTACTATATACAAGAATTAATTTTGGAACTCTTTCGTTAGCTTTCACATAGATAGTTTGCTAGCATAATTCCCAATGCTCCCCTCAAACGGAGCTATATTTACACACACCGAAAGGACACACACATCTGGGAGGCTACAAGATGGAATCAAGGATTAAGGATTAAGGATCATCCAAAGAGTGAGCTTTGGAAGACAGTGCAACAGACAGACTGGACTGGAGGAGACTCCCACATTATGAAGCTTATTGAATTGCCACTGCAATTTGTTGATGTTGTTTGCTGGGAGGAAGGTTCTCTCATTGGAAAAAAGAAATTACAAATTAATTGTTGCCGTTTGTTTTTGTTTTCTTCCGTTTTTATTACATTCTTTTTTCTTGCTCCTCTCTTTGTTTTTATTTTTTTAATTTTTTTACGGTGTTGCATCATCGTTACATACAAAAAATTTTGGTTCTACTTAAGAGCTACATTTGTTGCCTTTTATATATAAATCCAGCTTGGCTTCATAACGAAGCCTCTCCTTAATCCTTTCTCTCTAACTCTGCCTAGTCATCCGTGTGTGTGTGTGTGTATTATAAATTATACATTACAGTTGTTGTGTCTGGGTAAAAAAAACAATGATTTAAAATTGCAAGTTTTGCAAAAAATTATTAAAAAGGAAAGAAAATAATATATGATTGCTTGTATCTGTTTGGGGTTGGTTTCATCTTATTATTAAGCTTTTTTTACTTTAGTTTCGTTTTGTTTGTTGTTGTTTTTTTTATCTGTTTTTAAATTAGTTAACAACTCTAAGCATAGGTGTGTTTATACAATGAAGGGGGGAAAAAAAACTTATCAACTAAAACTTGCCTATACACGTGAATAATAATATTAAACATAAGCTTTTGTTTTTTGCTTCTTATTATTTTTTTGTTTTGTTTGTTTGTTTGTTTTGGAACCACAAGCGATGTCCATTCTAATCGTACTCGTACCATCTTTGTTCTTAATATTTAATAATTAATCGTTATTATCAGCTTAATAGTTGGTAAATACACAATCATAATAATCGTAAGTTAAAAAAATGTGTGTGTTTCAAAAAGGAAAATTTTCTGCTGCTCTCATGCTCCTCGCTCCTCAATCCTCAATCCTCAATCCTCATTCCTCAATCCTCTCTCCATTCGTATATGTTTTATGCATATATTAGAGATACTCACTAAATGTACGTATGTTTTAGTTACGCCTTAGAAACTTGCTTCTTAATTAGATGCTTTTGTTTTGCTTCTGTTTACTGTGGGAGGCTGCTTCTGTCTTTAGCTTTTCCTTTTGTTGCTGTTGTCCAACGTTGTCCGTTGCTGTCGCCTTAGCCCTCGCCGCCTTGTCGTCTCCGTGGAGGCTCTGCTGCTGCTGCTGCTGCTCCTGGTTGAGAAGGTATTGCCATTGCCATTGCGGGCCTTGGCCTACAGTGTCTCTTCAAAGGCAGCCATGAGATCGCTCTGCATGTTCATATCGATTTGGCCAGCCAACTGCAACACAGAGAAAGAGTTTAGAGTTTAGAGTTTTGAGCTTGGAGCTTGGAGAGAAAGTCCAAGGACTTACCGCTTCGCGCCTGCGCCGCTCCTGCTCGGCCCGCCGCTGTTCGGCGCGCTTGGCGGCCGCCCGATCCTGCGGCGATTGCTGGGCCGGTGAACTCTGGCCCTGGCCGCCCGGCGATGCCTTAATGTCATCCACCCGCGATATCTGCGGTTGGGCATCGTGAACGCTCTTTCTGCAATTTGATATATATTTAAGTAATTAGTTTTGTATAGTTACTTCCTCCGTCTACCACTTACCTTCCGCTCTCCATAGCGCCCAGGGGCGAGGCAGCCAGTATGGCCTGGGCGGCCACAGCGGCGGCCACATGCTGCGCCTGGGCATGTGCCGCCGCCTGGGTGAGTACGGCCACCTGCTGGCCATAGTCCAGGGCCCCGCTGCCCATCACATTACTGCCGCCAGTGCCAGTGCCGCCACCACCGGCGCCACCGCTGCTGCCCTGGCTATTGGAACCTGGTCCGCCGCTGCCCACCATGGCGCCCACGCTGCTGTTGCTGTTACTGCTTGCGGCGCCGCCGCTGCCAACGCCACTGTTGCTATTGCTGCCGGCATTGAGCAGTGCGGCAGCGGATCCATTATTGCTGTTAGCATTGCCTCCGCCGCCTCCGCCGCCGCCGCCGCCGCCACCGCCGCCTCCACTGTTGGGTCCACCTGTGCTGGTTGGACCACTGTTGCCGCCGGTGCCACCGCCGCCACTGCCTCCGCTGCCCGCACTGCCGGGTCCATTGCTATTCGCCGAATTGCTGCTGTTGTTGCCATTCCCCGACTGACCGCTGCCGGACCGCTCTCTGTCTCTGTCCCGTTCCCGCTCACGTTCTCCCCTCTCGCGCTCGCGTTCGCCGCTGGCCTGACCACCACCGGCACCTCCGCCACTACTGCTACCGCCGGAAGCATTCGAGGCACTGGAGACCACCGAGGGTGTGACTGTTACTGCTACACCCGATGCCGTCGAGGCTGCCACGGCCGCCGCCTGCGTGGAGGCCGCTGAAGCGGCGGCTACGGCTGCTGCTGCCGCTGCCGCCGCTGCTGCTGCTGCGGCTGCTTGCGATGCTGCTGTTGAGGAGGAGGAGGACGACGATGAGGAGGACTTGTGATGCTTGCGTTGCTGCTGCTGCTGCTCCTTTTCGGCGGCCTCCTTCTGGTGCTTCTTCTCCTTCTCGGCCGCCTCCAGCAGCTTGAGGCGATCGCGTTCTTTGGCTTTGTTGCGGAACTGCTGGAACGAGTCCATGGCCGGCTTGGGCTTGCTGCTGCTCGAGCTGCTGGATGTGTGCGACGATGGAGAGCTGGCCGAGGCCAGAGAGGACCAAGAGCTTGCATTCTTTAGGTTCTGCTCGGCGGCCTTAAAGGCCTGCACCTGCTTGCCTTGGAAGTTGGCCGCCGCCGCTGCTGCCAGCATCATGTCCAGTTGCGACTGTTGCGGGAGTATTCCCTTTTGGTGCTGTTGCTGCTGCTGCTGCTGCTGGAGATGTTGCTGTTGCTGGAGATGTTGCTGCTGCTGCTGCTGCTGCTGTTGCTGCTTGTCCGGCGGACTGGGCATCATCGATTCAATGGGCTTGGGTATGATCAGCATCTTATTGGCCACCTGCTGTTGCAGCTGTTGCTGTTGCTGGAGATGTTGCTGTTGCTGTTGGTGGAGATGCTGCTGCTGTTGCTGTTGCTGCAGTTGCTGTTGCGTGAGCTGCTGCTGATGTTGCTGGTGGTGTTGCTGCTGTTGCTGGTGGTGTTGCTGCTGCTGCTGCTGCTGCTGATGTTGCTGTTGCAGCTGCTGGCTTTGCTGTTGATGCTGCTGTAGCGTGTGCTCTAGATCTAGGAATGCTGAGGCGCCTGTCATATTGAGACTATCAAAACCGGGCATGCCAAAGTCGGCCACATTGAAACCGTTGTTGTGCGCCTGCTGCTGTTGCTGCTGCTGCTGCTGTTGTTGCTGCTGCTGCTGTTGTGGATGCTTCTGCAGGTTGGCCGTTGCTGCCGCCATGTCTAGCACAAAGTTCAGCGGATGATTGCCATTCATGCCGCTCACAGCATCTGTGGATCCCTTGATCAGCTCATTCACATAGTCCAAGGGGGCAAAGGCCTGCTGCTGCTGCTGTTGTTGCTGCTGCTGCTGGCTTCCATCCTGCTGCATCATAAAGTTATCCGTTAGCGCTGACGACTTGCCTGTGGAGCCGGCACTGAACTCGAGCGAGGCCAGCGACTGCTCCACGGGATCATCGAACTGGGGTATCTGCTTGAGGCCCGCAGACAGCGAGGCACTGGCCATGACATCCCCATGGACGCCCACGGGATGATTGGTGTTCGTGTTCTGACCCCCATTGTTCTGATTGCTGGACAAGAGGGCGGCCGCCAGTGCCGTATGATGGTCGCCCAGATCACTGCCAATGCCGCCAGGTGGCTTATGCAGATTGCTAGCTATCCGTATGCCACCGCCACCGGTCTGGACTCCTCCTGCTCCAGCACCACTACTGCCGTGATATCCATGCTGCGCGCCCAAATTAACGGACACTGGCGGCACCTTGCCCAGGTCTTCGTTGGCTGCGCCATTCTTCGCTGAAGCAGCAGCAGCCGTGGAACCAGGACCCACCGGCACTGGTCCAGCACCATGCAACATGTTGCCACCGCCGCCAGCACCGCCGAAATTGCTGCCGGGCAGCGTCGTCTTATTGTTATTGTTGAGCATGGCGGCCGCCGTCAGCGGATTGGCATTACCAAACATGTAGGCTGGACAAGAGGAAGGAGCAACGAGCAGGGAGCAAGGAAGAATAAGGATTCAGTTAGTTACGAAAAGGAAATTATACTCGAAATCCCTCAAGAATCTAGGAAAAGATTCCTAGAAACAAAGGACTATACTTACACGTGTGTGATGTGGGTGTATTGGGGTTCAGGACATGCTCCAGGTTCATCAGCGAGATCGGCGTTAGACCGCCGCTCGGCACGCTCCCGCCTCCTGCTCCGGCGCCGCCCAGGACTGTGGTCAAACTAGGATTATTTACCTGATATATCCCGGCAAAGGATAATGCAACACAGAAAAAGGGAGCAACAAAGGGGAAAGAAAGAAGGCAATGAATAAATGTTTACATTTAACTCGAGTTATTATCACGACATTCAACTATGATAGAGTCGATTAAATGCTTTCTATATATTGTACAAAAATTCTACTGGCCTGCCTGTCTGCGGTTCACCCCCAATTAATAATTTGTTTACTATTATTAACAATATATAGACATTAATACTTACATTGCTGCCATTCGAGTCTCGCGACTTTTTTTTGCGCGGCGGTCGCTCGTCACCGTCACCTGTTCCATCGGAAAATGGATGGGAAAATAAAACAAAGAAAACACTAATGAGCAAGGTTATAAAAGGAAAAAAGAAGGGTATGGAAAACAGAAAAAAGCTAAAGCATCAGGGAAAGCGCCAGGATGGATCCAACCTACATGATAAGTTAAAGTACTGTCATGGATTTTAAATAAGATTTTAGGTATTATATACCTTTTTCTTTGAATACAATTAGTTTTTCAAAACACGTTTTTGTACCCTTGCAGGGTATTATAATTTAAGTCTGAAGCATGAAGGAGTCATTTCTGACCCTATAAATCATATATATTCTTAATCAGCATCAACAGCCGGATCGATCTAGCTATGTTTTATTTAATTTTGTCAAAATTTTGAAAAATTTTTAAGTCCTTGAATCGATAAAATTGAAATTGGAGTATGCAGATTTGTTAACCTAATAAAAACTAACATAGGTCTGTTTTCCGAATTAAAATTAATGATTTTTTGGCTTAGTTATGAGATTTTTTAAATTTGATTTTTAGAAAAAAAATTCATATAACATATAGATAAATATAGGCTAAAAAAATGGTATTGTAATTTCAGTAAAAAGCATGAAACGTATTGAAGGAGTCATTTCCGACCCTATAAATCATATATATTCTTGATCAGCATCAACAGCCGAATCGATCTAGCTATGTCAGACAAAAATTAAATTTTTTCAAAATTTTCGAAAGTTTTTACATCGTAAAACTGTAAAAAAAAAATTTGGTAAAAAAATTAATTTTTTAACATTTTAAATGGAGTATGCAGATTTATAAAGCTAACAAAAACTAACATAGGACAGCTTTCCGAGTAAAAATTAAGGCATTTTTGGCTTAGTTATGAGTTTTTTAAAGTCAAAGAAATTGTCATATAAAAATATCGATATATACCGATTAAAAAAAATCGAATATTCTGAACTTAGTTATGATTAATTTCTAATTCGATCCTAGGATTCAATAACAAACTGCAAGGGTGTGTAAACTTCGGCTTCCCGAAGATAGATTTCTTTCTTGTTTTAAATAATTTCACTTAACCTTAAAATTTGTATATGTGAATATAATGGTTGGATTCATCCGTGTGCTGTGATAGTAATGTAATAATGTACATATATAGCATACAAATAGGTTTACAGATTATATAGGTGCATTTAAAATACCTTTTAATATGCCGAGTTTTTCGATGAAGCAATTGTGTTCTTGATGGGTTGGTGACAGGACAACGGTTATCGGGTTATCGCAGCTCTTCTCTTCTTTCTATCTGCCTTTTTTTCTGACCACTCACTCTCTTCTTTCTCACTTTCTTTCTCTGTATCTATTGATTTCACTTTTGACTTTCTAAAGAACGGGGGGGGGGGGGGGGGGGGGGGGAAAAGAACAGCAAGACACCCCGCAAATCTCGTCCTGTCCCTCTCCACACCAGCAGAGAGGAGGCGCCAAAAAGGATTATCGAAATTATCGATAAAATCAGGGTAATGTGATCGCAACCAAACCAAGCTCCAATCGATATTTGTTATGGTTTTTTTTTTCTTTAATTAATTGTTTTACTTGATAAATTATTTGTTTCATTCAGTTAAATGTTTTTTTCCTGTGAATAAAAATGGGCTGTTTTGGGGTGGGGCGAGGTAATGAGGAAACACACATTTGTTTTTTTTTTTTTTACTTTTTTAATAAACATTTTCTTTTCATTTTTCTTCTCATTTTTCGTGTTTTTTTTTCTCTTTTTTGTTTGTTGTTGTATTCATTGCGTTCTTTTTAGTTTAGTTTTTAGTTGTTGCCATTTTGTAATAATAAATATTATTATTGTTTGTGTTTTTTTTTACTATAAATATTTAAATGTATGCATTTGTGTGTGAGTTTTTATAATGCTAAATGTGTGTTTGTTGTGTTCCTGTTATGTCTCGTCTGTGTGTGTGTGTCTTCCTTTCTTCCTTCTTTCCCTAAGATTTTCACTATTTATCTCTGCGTTTATTTTATTTTATATTTTATTATATATCGGCTTGCCTCCCCCATACTATTCCTTTATCTTATATATATAAATATATATATACTGAAATTGAAACCAAAAATGCACTTTTTGTTTTATTTTTTTTTTTTTGATTTTAATGTTTTTTTCTTTGTTTTTGTTTCTTTTTTTCTTCACAACGTTCTTTACGAAATTGTTCTTACAAGACTTGGTTTTTTTTGAGCGTGTTTACTGCCATTTTCTTCGCTAATCCTTAACTACAGGCTAAAAAAAATAAACACAAGTATTAAGCTTACAACAAAACAATCTCTCAATGCAATGGGGGGAGAAGGGGATTTCGATTTTGATTTCGAGTTGGAATTGGAATTGAACCGAATGCTGACTGATCAAGGAAGCAAGAAAAATATACAAGAGCTACTCCGTTGATAATTAATACAAAATTAGACAAAATATAAAAGTAATTCAATAAATCGGGCAAGTTGAACAACATCAAGTAAAACATAAATGTAGAATTGCTCGAATTCTTCTGCCTGCTCTCAACACTTTCTCTGACACTCCTTGTGCACTATTCTCATTCTCTTTCTACTTGCTCTCTTTCTCTCGGATTTCTCATTTCTCTCAACTTGTAATTTTTTAAAGTAATATTGATTACATTGTGTGTGTGTGGCTGTTTTCTATCTTTTGTCGTCGTTTATTATCAGTTTGTTGCTCTTGTTGCATCATTTTTTCCTCCTTGCGTTTTCATTTGATTTAATTAAATAGTAAAAATTTATATTTAAATTGATTTTATGCATTAATTTCTTATTTATTTCCATTGCATTATCATCGTTCATCATTAATCAATCCTCCTCCTCTTCTATGCATTTCTTTTTGTTTTCTTTCTTGTTCTTTTTTTGTATATTTTTGTATATATATATATTTATATATATATATATATATAATATTTTATCTTTTTTATTATATTTTGAAAAAAAAACGTGCAAACAATGTGTAAAGGGGAAAGCCGACAGCCGAAAAATAAATAATAAAATGCTTTCAAATTACATTTAATTATTCGTTTTCTGTTTTTTTTTTCTTTTTTAGTTTTTTTCTTTTTTATTTATATACCTCTCTCTCTCTCTGATTTTGATCAATGTATAGCTGCTGGTTACATCTATGTAAATATGTACACCCTACTATATATAGCTTTGTATGTAGAACTAGTTGGAGTTTGGATATACATGTTACGTACGCTTGGAGAGAGCTCTTTCCACAACATTCCGTTACGTTCCATTACGCTTCTCTCGTTTACCGTTATTATGACGTGACTACTAACAGACAGAGACGAAAACAAGGACAAAGAGAGACAGCAGACGAGGGGGAGAGAGAAAGCGAGAGCGTGTGGGAGAAAGTCACAAATAGGAAGTGGGGGAGGAAGAGAGTTGAAAAATGATGGAAACCCGATTATTCCTAATGACTGTTTCATTTCATCCTTAAAATGTTCCCCTTTTTCTATCCACTCTTTCTCTTAGCTAATCGGAGGAAGGATATCAAGTTTAGAGTCCTGTTAGGTCATGGAAGTTAGTTGGAAGCATTTCATTCGTATTATCTTTTGTATTTCACATAAACTAAATGACAACAACAATTAAAAACGATATATATACGTGTTTGTGTATGTGTGGGAGAGGGTTTAGAAGTATGACGGGGGCGAAACAAGAGTTCGCGAATTGTATCAGCGGGATTTGTTGAGTTTATGTTATAAAACATGTGCAAAACAATAAATAAGAAAGTCTTAATATCGGTGTTAATGATAAGGCCCCCCCTGTATCTATACTCTGATCATTTCTCTCTCTCTCTCTCTCTCTCTCTTTCTCCGTTTATGTCTCTCTTCCGCTTCTTCCGTCTTTGCCACACTTGATTACGTTTACTCTCTATATCCCCTTACGTTTACTTTCTTTCTCCTTACGTTTACTCTCTCTCTTTCTCTCTGTCTCTTTACGTTTGCTCTCTTTCTCCTTACGTATTCGATCCTTACGTAGTTTCTTCTTTTTAGTTACGCTTTTGTGGTTTTGGTGTTTGATTTCTTTCTTTCTTATGTTTCTCTCATTTCTTTTCTTTTTCGAATTTGTTTTTGTTTCTTTTTGAAGCTTTTCATACTTTCTTTGTTTTTTACACATTGTCTGCAAGTGTATCGAGAATTTTCAAATATATATTTTGCATATTGGCTTTTTCTATATACTTTTTAGACATATATACATATTTAGAGATACATATATATATAAATATATATATATGGTAATTTTGCTTGCATTTTGGTTCATTCAGTTTTGTTTTATATTATTATTTTGGGGTTATTGTTCATTGTTTCATTATTATTATTATATTTTACACATAATTCTGTGAGGTTATTGTGTGTATGTGTGTGTAGTTGTGTGTGTGTGTGTTGGTCTATCTTATCTCAAAGGGACAATTAAAAAATATTTAAACAAAAGACCGATAGAAGAGGTTTTTATGAGGATGATCAATGGATGAAGCATCAAGAGTTTGGACTAGAAACAATATGGAATTGGCACAGAAGGTAACCTAGGAGGGGGATTTAAGATAAAACTGATTCCACCGGGCAGTGAATGGATATAGGATATGGAAGGACTAGTTAAAGTCTCGAGATGAGATGAGCATGGATGGAGGAGGAGTACATGTGATCGTGATCATAAACATGATCCTGAGCTGCCTCTATTGTTTTGCTTTCTATACATTTTTGTAAAGTTGATATCATGATGTGTGTACGTGTGTGTTTGTGTGTGTGGGAGTGAATGATACATTTTTTATAATCGATTTATTCGTTGATCTTTTTTGTTTTGTCAATCATGCAATTGCTGCTGTTGGTTTTCTTTATAGATTTGATTTGATGGAGAGTTTTGGTTGATCGATTGATTGATTGATTGACTTGATTAGTTGGTTTTGGTTTGGTTGATTGATTGGTTGATAGATTTGATTGGTTGATTGATTGATTGGTTGGTTGGTTGTTGGTTGGTTGGTTGGTTGGTTGGTTGGTTGGAGTTGGAATATATATTCATTACTTTCTTTTTCAGATTGGCTGCCCCCAATACACAATTGCTTCACGATTTTTTTCAGCATATTCTCATAATAATCATAATCATAATAATAATAATAATAATAATAATCATAATATTGGTAATAATAAGCTGGTTTTAGCTTGTTCTTTTTTTCAAGATTTTTTTTTTGTTTTTGTTTTTTCAAAAATTACTTACAAATAGTAAAGAGCTGTGTGTTCTCTTATTATTCTCGTTTTTAGATAGTTTTTTTCATTTACAAATACAATTTGTTTAATACCTACAAATGCTTAAATACAATATCCATATACGCCATATATATATACATATTTGTATATGTAAATGTCTATAGATATATGATATATATATATATATATATATATATATTTCTGTATATATATAATTAAGTATATACTAGACCTAAAATTTATATATATATATATATATATATATATATATAAATCGATTATATAAAGTTTTGCCGATGTGTGTTCATGTTCATGTTTGTCTCGTCGTGTTTATGTCGTCGTCGTCTTCAAAAACAGGATTTTATGAGGGGATTAATGGGTAACTATGGGTCCTTTAGTCTCTACACCCGTCTGCCTCACACCAACTCTGGATCTCTCCAAATTATAGATTTCTTTCTCTCTCTGCAAATTTGTTGAACAATCTTCACAAATATCTCATTCTCTCTCTCGATCTCTTCTTGAATTTCTGTAACAAAAAATCTCTCTCCTTTTAAACATATTACCATAATTCTCTCTCATGATTCGAAATTCCATAAAAAAATCAATCTCTCTTTCGGTGCATTTGTTTTCTTAGAGTAAATGCATATTGCACTTTGTCATGAACTTGGTTCTTGAAAATTCTAAACAAATACAAAAAAAAAATAAATAAAAAAAATTAAATCAGTTATAAAAAAAATTATATTCACCAGAGTTGGTTTTATTTTGCGGATTTCTTCTATATAATCCCATTTCTAATGCCGATTCAGACGGGTGTAAACATAATATCGAATATTCATTTGCTGAAAATGTTCTCTTTTTTGTTGGTTTTTTAGCACACAAAAACATAAACAAAATGCGCTAAGTTCAATAAATTAATAAGGGTGCATGTGTGTGTGTGTGTGTGTTGTGTGTATGGTTTATTAACAATAGTACAATTGGCCATCATACCCCTCTTTCCATCTCTCTCTCTCCCTCTCACAATCTCTATACCTCCATCTCGCTCTAATTCGACTTGAAGTTGGATTTTAATGGTGGTTTTGATACTGAACTTTTAGAAACACAATCAATCGCAGGATAAACCCTAGAGATACAAGCTAAATTGGGTTAAGGTAAGGGTATGTGGGGTATGGTAAAACTACATTTATAACTAGATAAACCTATATCCAATTGAATTAAGCCAAAATCTCCTGAAACTGATTTGCAAAGTGTTAGCTTTTTGCTATCTTCTCTTCTTTTTACACAATTCAACTGCTTTTCTACGTGCTACTCGTTACTCTTTACTCGCTACTCGTTAGAGTCTTCTTGCTGCCCTTAATATGTAAAATTTTCCAGTGTTAACACATTATAATAGAATTTAAAAATGATTATGCGGCGACTGTTATTTTTTTGTATTTTATTTAGTGAAGATTAAGGTGTGTTTCCGTTTCCGTTACAAGTTGTTAAACGTTCTGTAAGTGTCGTGTTTGTGTGTGTGTGTGTGTTTCAGTATCGGAATCGGTATCCGTATCCGTTCTTTCTTTTGTTTAGTGAGTTCTGTTGTTTGCTTCCTAAACAACGCAATCTATATCTCTACATATACACATATACATAATTATATACATGTATATGCAGTCTAGATATAGATTTATATTTGCCTATCTCTAGGTTACTTATTTAAAAAAAAAAAAATAGACTTTATAAAATAAAACAAACAAACAAAACGCGTCCTAACCTGCTTCACTGTCGCTCGAGTCACTCGAACTGCTATCACTCGAACTCGACGACGATGAATCGCTGGAACTGGAACTCGACGACACGGGATTCGCTGGCTGAACGGCCTCCACCTTGTTCGATTCGTCTGCAAAGAGCGAGTGAGTATAGCATTAGTAGGTTCATTTATATAAAAGCAAACTTAGATAGCTTTCCAATAATATTTTCATTTTATGAAGTTTAAACATACCTTTCTTGGCGGTTTTCTTGCTTGCCCCCAGCTGGCCGGTGACATCCTGCAGTCGCTTCTCCAGCTCCTGCTTTTTCTCGGCCATCTGTTCATCCTTTGACTTGCCGGAAGGCTTTTTATCTGCATTAGGAAAGAAACAAATATATTTATATTTATATAGATATAGGATATAGGTATGTAGATTGATAGAGAGATGGAAAAAGGCTGGGTTCATGCTCGACGAAGGAAAGATAAAGCGGCAAATATCAAGTCCTATATAAAAATATATATATCAGCGGGGTGTCGCAGAAATCTTCCAGGAATCTCAAGAGACTTTTGCGACACATCTACAGCATTCACAGGCTACAATACTTGGACAGGGAGAGGATCTTTTGGGAGGGATTTACATGCACTGGCACTAAATAATATATATTTTATAAATATATATATATACTACAGATAGATGATGGGGTAGGACAGATAGCTCGAGAGATAGAGAGACTTAAACATAGGGATTTTTGCATTTTGATTATAAATATTCATTTGGTTTTTTTTCTTGCTTAGTTTTTTTGTTTTGTTTTTCGAGTTTAACTAACTAAACATGACCACTACGGTTTATTTTTTTGGTTCGAAATCAAAATCAAATTTGGAGCGCAGTCAGCAAAGCCAAAATGGAGATTTCTTTTCAAGATACTCTTTTGGATTCTTCTCGATTTTGGGGAGTGGTTGTAGGACTCTTTCTCTGTGGTTTTCGGGATTTCTCTGGGGGATAGAGGGTATAATGGGGAAAACTTTTCGAACTTGGACTGGAACAGGGACTGTTTTTTTGAATTTGCTGCTGTTGCTGTTCTTGCTGCTTTTGCTTTGGCTTTGGCATTGTTTTGGTTTTTGTTTTGTATTTTTTTTTTTTTTTAATGGTGGTCTCGGTTTAGTTACAAACTTACAATATGGCTTACGTGTTTTTTTGCGCAAACACGACGCCACATAGCTTTCAAGCTCGCGCAGCGTCGACGGCTTCAGTGTCTCAAAGTCAATCTCGATTTCGTCGGGATTGGAGTCACGCAGCGATGGCTCACGATTTTGGATAATGTGAACAACGCGGCCCAGTTTGTCGCCTGCAAAAGAAGAGGGATATATTAGTGGATATAGTAATTAATAAAAAATATATTTAAGCTATGTGAAAAGGTTCCGCTCTGGACAGAGCAAGGTAATTCCTTTTCGGTTCAATTCTCACCTGGTAACTTGTTAATGTCCAGCGACAGCTGACGCTTCTCATCGTATGACATTGGCTTGGCCGTGTCCTCCTCCTCGGAGTCAAAGTTCATCACCTGGCTGGGCTTCTTTTTGCTGCTGCCACGGGCACCGGCGCCAGCGGCATTGGCATTGGAATTACCGCCACCGCCAGCGGCAGCGGCGGCACCCGCTCCGCCGCCAGCGCCCGCCGAATTGCTGCCCTTGGCCCGCTTCGAGGCATTGCCACCGCCTGGTGCACCCACAGCTCCAGCGCCAGCTGCCGTGCCCGCCGCTGCAGCGCCCGCTCCACCAGCTCCGGAATTACCAACGCCACCGGCATTGACTGCTCCACCCTTGGCTCCACGTTGGCCCTTGCTCTTAGCACCTTTACTATTACTGCCGCCGCCGGTTGAGGTTCCTCCAGCGCCCGCTGCAGCACCCGCTGCCAAGGCTCCGGCCAATGTGCCCGCCTTGCCGCCCGCCGCTGCCACAGCAACCGCTACGTTGCCGGCAAAGCCGGGTCCGCCGGCACCGACGCCACCGGCACCGCCAAAGCCCATGGCCACATCATGCGCCTGACTATGCAGGGCCGAAACATTGGGTATGCCGCTGCCAAGTGCTAACGATGAACCGCCGGCACCGCCGACTAGGGAGCCACTAAGCAGAGCAGATAGATTGGCGCCAGCCGCTCCACCGGCGCCCAAGGCACCCACACCACCGGCTCCGGGTACGCCGGATACCATGCCGGGACCGCTGCCAGTGCCAGCTCCTAGACCGCCAGCACCACCAGGGCCAGAGGCATGGCCATGATGCGACGCCGAACCGGATCCAGAGCCACCGCCAATGTGTTTCTTCTTCTCCTTGAGTTTCTTCTTGGCCTTCTTCTTGGCGGACGCCTCCTCGGATAGCTTTCGTATCTCCTCCTGAAGGCCAAGCAGCTTGGACTCGAGCATTTTCAGCTTGGCGCTGCGTTCCTCATCCGAATTGGATTCGTTTTCCGTATCGCTGGAATCCTCGCTGGACGAATCGCTGGCATCGTGCTTATTGGAGGCAGAGCCACCGTAGCCGCCATGACCACCGTGTCCGCCATGTCCACCGTGACCATGTCCGCCATGACCGTGCCCGTGACCGTGCCCATGGCCGTGACTGCTGTGATGATGGTGGGCGGCATTGGCCACCGGTTCGTCGGGTATGTTGGCGTAGCGCATCTCAAAGACATCCTGCAGCTTGCGTCCCATGGCGACAACATCGTGGTCTGGCGGATTGTACTTGTAGCAATTGGTGAATATTAATCGCACGTCGGCGGCGAATTCCGGCGCGCTCTTGTACTCGCGATTGTCCATTTTCCGCTTGACAGTGCCCAGATCCATCGGTTTCTTGATGATGTCGTGGTAATCGTGCAGGCCCAGCATTTCGGCATCGACCGGCTTGTAGAAGGGCCAGGCATAGCCGGAATGCTTCTTTGAGAATAGCTCCTTCAGGATCTCGTTGCACGACTTGAGGGCATCCGATAGCTTCTCCTTGGACTTGACCACACCGGGGCCGCCGGCAACGCCGACGCCAACCAGGCCGCCAATGCCGGGTAGACCGGCGCCCAATGGCGACAGCGTGTAGCCCGAGCCCTGGAATGTAAGATCCTGTTGGTTCAGAAGATCCCATTCGTGGTTGGTTGATTGGTTGATTGATTGATTGAGTGGTGGTGATTGATTGGTGTTCGATTGATTGTTTGATTGATCGAGTGCAAACGAAATCAACATAATGGAAGAAAAAGAAAAGAACGAAATAAAGGAGCAAAAGCAGCATGGGGTTAGCATTGAATTGAAATTAAAAGGATTGAATTATGAATTATGATTACTGGATCGGAAGTAGTTAAGTAGTAACAGTCAGTAACAGTGATTGGTGACAGTAATCAGTAACAGTAATCAGTAACAGTAATCAGTAACAGTAGTCAGTAACAGTAATCAGTAACAGTAATCATTAACTGTAATCAGTAACAGTATTTGGTAACAGTACTCAGTAACAGAGTCTAGTACGAGTTACAGAATTTAAAAGAGTCTCTCTTGGAGCAAAACGAACAAGAGAGAAAAATATCTCAATTCTCTCATAGTTCAGCTAAAAGTAAATACTCTCTCGTTCGCTACTAAATGGAGAGTGTAGAAATAGGAGTCTCTAGAGAGCGCTCTCGCATTTAAAGAGAACGAGCAAAGGAATGAGGGAAATAATAAACCGAATATTTCAATTTAAGTTAAGGTGGAACGAGAGCAAGTCTTGTGAGCTTGATCTGGTTAAGAATCAGTATCAGTGTCAGTATCAATATCAGTAATCTGTTAAAAGTAAGTAGCAATCAGTAAAAAGTAGTTATCAGTAAACAGTAATCAAATATCAGTAAACCAGTAATCAGTAATATGTAACGTGTGTTTATTTACAATCACATGAATAAATAATGGTCATTGAGTAAGAGGCAAGGCAGCGTATTGTGTATGATTTATTCAATTGGGTTTTTGAGTTTTTGGCAATTTTAATTCAGTTTTCATAGCTTAGACTAATCGATGATTCAAACAAATACAACATCTATCGAGTGATGGAACTTTAAGTGGGGAAATATTTGTACAAGGTCAGAGGGCATCGAAGCCCCCCGCAAAAATGTTTATGATATTTAAAACTCAAGCTATTTGGTGTACAAAATGATATATATATATATATTTGAACGTTGAGAAAACAAGCGAACAATTGAACTAAATGAACAAAATGTCTCTTCTTGCTTTTACAATTTCCAAAATGTATCAAACAATTTTTGGACAAAATCACAGTGCAGCAATATTTACAAATATAAAAACTTGACATGAAAGCTTGAAACAATAATTAAAGATAACGAAAACTTGACAGAAACAGGGGGGGGTTTGGGGAGAATCATGATCATACTCATACTCATACGACTCGGCTCACGTCTTACTCTTACCTTCTTGCCAATTACCTGACGATTCGACTCCCGCCGCGTCGCTATCTTGGCCGATTTCGAATCCATTTGCGCATACGGGGACTCAAAGGCATTGGCCGTCGGCGTTGTGGTGTCCGCCTTCCGTTTGACACCCTTCTTGATCTTGGCAGGCTGCTGCGGCGGTATCACGGTGTCCACACCGACGCCCACTCCCGCCGTACTATTCACATAGGCCTGCACCGCGTTGGCGGCATTCACGGCAGCCGCTGGTATTGTCACCCCTCCGCCTCCACCCGCTCCAGGTGGTGCTCCACCCGCTCCACCGCCTGCTGCTCCTGTCGCCGCCGCCGCTGCTGCTGCCGCCGCTGCTGCTGCTGCCACTGCCGCCGCTGCTGCGGCGCCTGAGCTGCCATCGAGTAGGGATGAGCTATTGACTGCCGTTTGGCCGGGTCCGCCGGGATATGCGCCAGCCTGGCCCGTATTCAGGAGGCTGGCCATTAGGGCAACGGCATTGGGATTTCCTGCCGCACCAGCTCCACCGGCGCCGCCAGCCATCGCTGTCGTCGTCGTATTGGTGCTGCCGGGCACCGTATGCGGTGGCATTGTGCTAATCGGTGGTATGGACGGTGCACCGCCGGCCGTCGATGAAACCGTGCCACCCATGGCGGAAACAGGTCGGGCGGCTTGCGTACCCGGTCCCGAACCCGTACCGGCGCCGGGTGTCGCAGCTCCGCCACTCGCTCCCGTTGCGCCGGCATGGCCGGGTAACTGTTGCGCAGATGAAGCGGCTCCAGCAGCAGCAGTGGACACTTTGCCGGCACCGCTGCTAACCGCTGGCGTTGAGGGGGCACCGCCGGATGCTGATGACGCACCGCCCGTTGCCTTGGGCGTGGTGGGAACACGTTGTTTCTTCTTGCCACCCTTGGCCGTCACCGGTTCCAGCTCGAGCTCCTCCTTGGGCATCGATTCGACCTTCTGCAGGAAGACCTTCTCGAGCGTTTGGGCCATGACAACAACATCCTCGCCGGGCTTGTTGTAGACGTAGCAGTTGTTGAACATGGTGTTGAAATCATGGATGGCCTCCTTGGCCGACCAGTAGTAGTTGTTCTCTAACCGCTTCTTGATCGTACCCATGTCCATGGGCTGTTTGATGATCTTGTGGTAGTCGGGCAGGTTGAGCTTCTTGGCATCGACGGGCTGCTGGAAGGGCCACGAGAAGTGGTGCTTCCATATCACCTTCATCACCGTCTTGATCAGATATTGCAGTTGATTGGTGTTGCGGCCGGGTCGCTCCGCTGGCGGGATTACCGGTGGCTGTACAATGCCATTGACTGGCTCCACGGGCGGCTCATACCGGGGAGGTGGCTCACTGGACGACATGGTGGCTGAAGTTGTGGAGTGGTGGCGTTGTAATTGGTGTTTAGTTGGTGGCGTGAATGAGGGATTGCTGATTTGCTGCTGATAGATTGGTGGTGCTTCTACTGCTGGACTTGTGGATCCTTCGTATCCTTTTCGTTCTCGACTGAGACGGCCGACACACGCACACTACTCACGCACACACTTTGGGGGGCAGCACACCACACACGAGCTCACTTTCACGAGCTTTAACAAACACACACGCCCGGGCCGTCTCCGTCTCCTCGCCGTCCGCCGTTGTGGCCTCCCTTGCTGCTGCTCCTCCTTGTCTCGTCCTGCTCCTGCCCTTGATTATTCTTCCTTTTTCCCGCTTGTGTGTGTAAATGGGTATGAATATTCTCTTTTGCGTTGATCGCTAGATCGATTGTGTGGCCGTCGTTGACGGCGACCACCTCCTCCTCCGTCTCCTGGACGCAGCAGCTCCTGCTGGCTCCTGACACCTCCTGACAGCGGCTCCCGGTCCGTATCCTCTATCTATTGCTTCTTGCTCCGCTCCTGCTTTACTCTTCGTCGCTGTGATTGATGCAAATTGGTTCTTAGTCGAGGGATTGTGCTGTTGCTTCATGCTCAGCAATGTCTGTGCACTGTAATTGTGGAGGATAAACGAAAGAATTAGTAAGTGGAGATGCTGGGAGGCCATGTCTGCTGCTACTCACCACCCCTGCTCCAGATTCTTAGCGCCCAGGCTCCTCTCATTGGATGGCGAGTCCTGCGGCCAAGTCCGATACGTCGTGTAAGGCAACGGTAGGCATTATTGCTGCTATTAACCCGTTAAATCTTTTCCAGCTAAGGCGAGGCGAGGCGATGCGATGCGATGCGATGATTATCTGCAGCAAAGGAAGAACACAAATCGAATTAGATATCAATCCTTAGGGTTTGGGGCATATCAATTTTTTTTTTTTTTTTTTTTGTGTGCCGGCACATTATTTTGCAACTCTGGCCGAGATTTGCATTTCACAACACTTCCACCTCGCGGCGGGTTACATAAACAACCAGAAATACATAAAACGTAAAATGAAATAGAATAGAATAGGGCCAAGGGAGGCGGTGGGGGCGGCAGGCAACAAAAATAACAAATTTACAAATCGCATAAACAAAATGCGCGACGACAACGAAACTGCGTGGAATGAAAACAGAGCAAACGGCAAGAAGCAGAGAGACGACGACAACGACAACGACGGAGAACGAGAACCGAGAATGGTAACGGGAACGAGAATGAAACTACTCACAAAACTCACACAGCGCCCCAAGTGCAAAACAATCAATTCCCGACACTTTTTCACAACAATATTCGCAATATTTTTGATTTATTCTTAATTATTTGATGCGGCCACTTTATGATTTCAGCTATTTCTGCTGTTTTTTCCCGTTTTTTCCAACGTTTCCACACCGTTCGGTCGTGTGTAGTTACTTTGCCGCCGTTTTGGCACTCACAGCAACAGCGAAAATAAAGAAGAGGCAACGGCAACACACTCACGGGCCGCACAAATAGAGAGGAGCGCCGGAGAGCGAGAGAGCGGCGGTGAGAGCCTAATTCGCTTTTCGAACTTCACTTCGAAAATGTTCGTCATGAAGGAGCGAAAGAGAGATATGACACACACACACACACGTAACGTATTGTAACCAAATAGCCATCCCGCTTGCACCTACTAAGCGGCTTTATCAAGGGGCAGCAAAAACCAGACAAAATGCGCTCGCAAAAAGCAAGAAAAAAAAATAATAAACCGAATGTAAAAAAAAACCTTTAATAAACACAATAAATATCCATTAATGCAAGCAATACGTACACACGCACGCACCTACACCGCTTGCGGCGTGTGTTGTGTTTGAACACTGAGAGAGAGAAATTCACCACGCCGCCTTTTCAAGTTGAATATTCTTGGTCACACAACAAGCAAGCATGATTCATTCGCTTTGTTTGTTGTTGTTACTGCAACGCCAATGCAAAGGCAATAATATGCACGTAATTCCAACGTTTTATTTTTTATTTAACACCCTCAAACTACAAGTACGTGCGATGCGGTGTGGTGAGGAGTCGAGGAAGTTGGGCCAGGAGGGCGAGGGCGCACACTAAGCACGCACACAGATGCACAGTCTGATATTCCACATTGACAGTGGTACAAATTGCATTCACAGCGATCACAAATACGGTGCATGTGTTGTACATCCCCTCTCGTACAGTTTTGATTCACAATCGCATCTCCCTTCATTGAGCCCTCAATTGTTTACGCAAAAAGAATACAAACACACTTGCTCCGTTTTTGTTTATTGTTGATGTTGCGAATTTATTTACACTCTACAATGTAGAGCCCACATATGTGTGTGAGTCTTGCCGGCCGGCAAGCCATGTTATTTTCACCGCTCTTTTCTTTTCAGCTGTATCGCTTTCACTTTGGGAGGAGTTCCAGTTCAAGTTCCAGTTCCAGGCTACCTTTTCAATTGCGAGTTTTGAGTTTTTAGTTTTGGCCCACTGTATTTTATGTTAGTTGCCAAGTGTTCGTATGCGCTTGTGTGTGCGTAAGTGTGATGAGTACGAGTGCGAGTGTGACGCAAAATTAAACGGAAGAACAACCCACGAAGGCCAGGCGAAAATCATGACGTATCCCACATTCTATTCTCGCCATAGCACGCAAATAAAATAGGAATATTTAGGAATAACAAATATTAAATACCCGAGTGAGGGGAGGGTGGGAGATAGAGCTAGAGGGAGTGTACAAGATACGACAGAATGCATTAGCGGGCGGCTCTCTCTCTCTCGCTCCCTCTCTGTTGCTCTCACAACAAAACAAAACATTAACTGGCACGCACACACACACACACACACACACAAGCACGAACAGTGAGAGCGGAAGAGAGCGAGAGCGAGAGCGCGCGAACGTGCGGTTGTAATTATGTAGTACAGTAGACTTTGAGTTTTCAACAGAATTTTACGTAGAACGATTGCGAGCCAAAGCGAACCGAGAGATTCAAGGCAAACACACCAAACACGAGCACGAGCACGAGCACGAGTGATAGCACGAAGGCGAACACGATGACGATGACGTAGAGATGAGGGAGAATAAGAGCAGGAGGGCACAAGGAGAAGAAGCGGCAGCAGCAGAAGAATATACAGCAACGGCATGCATTGGAAATTGTGATTCCACCAGGAAGGGGAAAAAGGAAGTAAGGTGGGGAACTGGATTCAACTTGAAGCTGCTTTTTTTATTGCACAAAAATCCAATTGCTATCATTTCCCTACCTAAATTTAGTTAGAATAATCAGCAATTAATTACTTCCTCAATCCTAAATAAACAAAGGTCAACAGTTAGTTTGTCTAAAGAGCAAATGCAAAAAGATCTAAACTCAATAAAAGAGCAAACCTCATTCAAGGAGCCACCAAGAAACGTGCCTTAATTAAATATTGTTTCATTCTTGTTTTGCACTTGAACTACGGCCAAATATATCAATTTTATTTAAATAAATAAAATACTCAAGTGAAACACACACACACACACACATTTACGCTCGCCACTGAAAGTTGCAGCTGCTGCGACATGCGACAGAGCGAGACAACAATAGGGGCCTACGTAATGCAAATATGGCGGCATATCGAAACCAGAAAGAGCGAGAGCTGGTGGTGGTGGCATTCGATTCGAACTGAGAGAGAGCAAGCGATTGTACTGTGTGCTTCTTCTGTGTATCTGCAAGTATGCCGCCGCCGCCGCCGCTGCCGTCGTCGAAAGAGCGAGAATGAGCGAGCGTGGAGTCGATGGGTTAGGAGGAGTTGCGGGAGAGGGAGCTAGCTGCTGCCTCTAGGTTAATAAATCGTGCTAATAGTGGCACGAATTTAAAGCCGGTTTACATGGCAGCATGCAGCGGCAGCAGCATGCGAAGAGGAAGGCGAAACAGCAGCACCAACACAAGAGGAAGCATCGCCCCCAAAAAGCATCAATGAATTCGATTCCGAGAGAGAGCCGCAAAATTTCCGCTTATTTACGATAAACATATCTTCAATTTTCGCAAAGCAGCCGCAGCGGCAAGTAAACAAACAAATTGCGCTTGACTCTGCCTATTATTTACGCGCCAAATGCCCAAAATGCAACACCAACGACGACGATGGCGAGATTGCAATAAAACGAGAGCGGCAACAAAACTAAATAAATTATAAAGTCACAAAGCCGGTAGAAAGAGAACTTGAGAGGGAATAACAAGAGAATGCATGGGAATATCTAAATATTATGGATATTTTACATTTTGTAACTATGATTTCTTAAATTCTGCTTTTATTTTTACAAAACATGATATTTGTGGCTAAAATCTTTATTAAGAATATTATTTTGAGCAAAAAACTTGACAAAACGAATGCTGTTTAAGTTAAAAACAATAATTACTTTTAAAACGCATTACTTGGTATATATTATGAATTTTTAAACCTACTCCCAACTCCTAATTATTGCATAAAATATACTTCCTAAGCAAACCTTGAATGGAACATGCTTGAATTTTATATTACCAATAAAACAAAACAAACCATGAACTAAGCAAATAATTATCCAATGCTGATATCAGTATTAAAATCTATAATTCCTGGCCACTTTCAAGGAAAATCTAAACACAGTCGGGGAAGAAACTTTAAACCCAAGACATGAAGGTAGAAAAAGGGTTGGAAAAACCGACGATAAGCAGCTGCTGTCCCTCCAAAAAGTACATGTGTTTGTTTATACCAGAAAAGTCTTCAACATTACAATAAAAATTTAAATTCCAAGAGGAAAACTAAAAAAATTCAACTTATTGTGGGTCGAGTGGGTGGGGAATTGGTAGCCACGTGCGTTGCACTTATCCAACTTACTTTTCCTGCGGCCGCTTTTCACGTTTAATGTTGTTTTCGCCTTTCGTTTGTTTAATAATCCGAAATTCGAATGGCGTTTAGTTGCTTGATTGCTGTGTTGTTATTGATGTTTCTGTGTTGCTGCTGCTGCTGTTGTTGTTGTTGTCATTTATTATTATTATTAAACGAAATCATTCTTTGTTGCTTCTGTTGTTTCAAAACAGTTGTGTTTAAATCGAACATATACAACATGCAAAATTGTACACGACTGTTAAAAAGAGTGGAAACTGTAGAGATGAAAACAAACATAAAAAAAAAATTAGCACTTTTTTTCACCGAGATCAATTTGCGCGCGCGAGGGAGAGCGAAAGAGAGAGAGACAGAGAGCGAGTGTGATGAATCCCCAGCGACAACGTAACCCACAACGTAAGCATCGGCATACGCTACAGTCATCACGCGACGCGACGCAACGGAACGGAACACGAGCAACGCGCTTACGTTACGAACGGCGCCGCCAAACCGCAAAATATTAAATGGTACAACAATAACCAGACAATTCCCGAGAATATAGATTTTTTTCGATTTACTTATTTTTTTGGTTTACTTTTCTTTATGTTTATTTTCTTGCAAAACGATCACACTTGCTCTTTTATTAGTGAAATTTCTTTTCGGATTTGGCGCGCGCGCGTGTGTATTCCTCTTTTCCGTTTTTTTCTTTTAGTTAATATTATTCACTTGGTGACTACTACACACTCATGCTCTCCTCTACACACACAAATTCACGCTCACACACACATACACGTCAGAGCCGTTTCTTCTTCTTCCTTCTCTTCGTTCGCTTTTGTTCCACCACCAAAAAAAAGTAAAAAGAAAAAAATTTTGTCATGTCCATTGAAGTCTCACATTTTTAAATGTGTTTTTTGGCGCTAAAATCGCGGAATATTCCAACAATTTCCATACGCATCGGGTGGCCCGCAATTAGCACTTCACACTGATCACAAATTTATATAATTTTTGGCAATTTTTACCACAATTTTTTAGTAATTTCTACACACCGATATACGTACGCGCTACGATTTTTCGACAAACGCGCGTTTCGAGCCGTCGCCGTCCCCATCAAATATACAAAAATTTTTCGAAATTACTGAAAATGCGAATACACACGCACACATATGCACGACGGACGGCGCACGCGCCTGCACCATATGGCTGAGCCGCTCTAACCCATGGCGACACACCGGCATGTTCGAGTGCGACGGATATCGCGCGGCATGTGTGTGTGCTGCCTGCGTAGTGGTGTGGTGGTGGTGAAGAGAGCTGACCGAGAGAGGGAGAGATCGAAGAGAGCCGAGCCGCTCTCTGGTGGTGAGTTTTCATATTTCATTTTCAACGTGTAAGAAGAGCGAGCGAGAAAAAAATAAACGTAACAAGCGAAACAAAATGGCGCATAGAGCGCGGAATGCGGTCCGGCGATTTCGATGCGGCTCCCTGGCCAGCGAATGTCCGCTTCCGGTCTCCGTGCCCGTTCCCACTGCCGCTGGCGGCCGTGGGGGAGCATTTCATGGCCGGCGGCCCGGATTCCGAAGCTCCGGCGTTGGCGCGAACGTCAAGGAGAACTGCGAGGCGTAGTCATCCTTGCCGGAATTCGTCATCCCGACCAGGCTGCGATGTGTGTACCGGAGACGCGTTTGGAACTCCTCCCCGAACCGATATCCGTAAATGGAACATCAACGCCGCCGCCGCCGGGGGCATTGCCATTCGGATCGAATCTCCTGACCAACCGGTGGAACTGTGTGTTATTGTAGTATCCTCCAGGCACAGCTGGACGAAGTTGCCGCACGCCTTCGGACACGCTCCCGCCTACAACAAGATGTCCATGTCGCCCACAGTGGTTTTCGGAAGCACCTTGGCCGATGTGGGCGGCATCACTTTGCATGTGATTTGTTTACTACTTGATTTCTTGTATTACTTTTTAATAGAGCTGGAAGTAGCATCAACGATATTCCAATATATCCATGTTTATGCCGATAATCACGAAGAAATGATTAATTTTTGTGATTTATCATGAAATAAACTATTTTACAAAACATATACAAAACTAGAGGTGGAAACACGTCGATAACTAGAGATGGGATATCCATTCTAGTATCGATACAGATAAATCGATATTGCACATTTAAGAAGAAGAAGGCACGAACCAAACTTAAAACTGGTCTTTGTTTGTCTATAGATATAAATCGATATCAATATGTAGCAATCAGAAGACTGATGACACGAACCAGGGCTTAAAACTGGGATTTTTTGTCCATTTAGATAAATCATATATTTGCAAGTGTTCATTTAAGTGTAACCAGCTGCAGTGGAGGAGAGAACCCAAAAATTCTTCAACTACGCGATAGTGATGTTTCCCCCTTGTTAGTAGTTGGTCACACCACCTGTAATTAGTGTGCGAAAACATCTGTGCTGAACGTGATGACAAATTATTATGATTTTAAAGTTATAAATTTCATTAATTTGGTTATAAACAAACACACAGGATTCCACAACAAGAAAAAATAAGCTGTTGGGGTCACGAATTCAATTTTAGTTGGAATATGTAAATGAATATTCTTATAGCTATAAACTAGCTACAAATTTCATGGGCTTTTCCACTTGTAAATAAATATAGATATAGCCTGAAACAAGCTATGTTACGAATTTTACATTATACAGTACCCCCCAAAAGTGAGAATTCGACCCCAAACATGAGAAGTCGACCCCATGTATCTGTAAACGTGTAAAATTGACTTTAGACGTGTAAAATGTAAAATGTTAAATAACAGCTTCAAATTCAGAGTGACCAGAAGCAAAATGTCACAAAAATATCATAAGTCAAAAAAATAAAAAATAGCATCATAATTGTTGCAATCGGCTGTTCAATTTATTGTTTCCGTGGATCAAAAGCGTATAACTGGCCTGTGGCCCGACCAAGTTAACGAAAACAACGAAAGTACGGAGTGCAAGTATAAATTCTGCAGTAATTCTAACTGACTCAGCTACGTGTGCGTGTGTGTGTGTGTGTGTGTGTGCAAGCAAACTCCACAAGTGTGCGAGAGCAAATCAAAATAAGAAAACGATGAACAAGAACCAGCGGCCAAGCGCCCCTGATGGAAATTAATTTCGCGAATTATTGACGAAAACGCGGCGAAAGTTAGACCAAAGTGCTGTCATTGGTTCGGTGGCAAGTGAAATAAGTGGGGATTACGTAAGAAATCAATGGATTCCGGCTGCATTTGGCCAAAAACACCGAGTGCTCTTTTTTTTTTTTCTTCTTCCTCCTGATGATTTCATTCGCAGTGACGACACACGCACGAACACAGCGATAACGACCATACATATGTGTGCGTGTGTGCGTGTTGAGTGTTGTTTGTTGAACTAAAAGAGGCATGGATTCGAATCCTCTGCACGACACTTTTGCCCGTGTATTAAAGTTTTTCTTTTATTTGATTTAAAAGCTGCAGATCGGCGACGCCTTTGCTGATTACGCCTTGGGCTCTGTCTTTATCGCCTCGCCATGCAACTTCCCCCACCCACTCGCACGATCTAGCGAATGGAGTGTACGTAGGCAGGAGAAACAGATCCAAGGGGGGATGAGGGAGGGGACCTCAACCAGTACGCCCACATGTCCATGTGTCCATGTGTTGGTGGGCGTCCATCATTCATGGCAAAAAATAACACAAAAAAAACAAAAACTGTGCGCTGCAGATGCCGTTCTTTTTTTATAGTGAGGGTATTAATCATAGGGGGGCAGAGTCATCCCTTCTACCCCACCCATGTACATGTGCTTCAGAGTAACAACTGTTTTTCGTGTCCGATCCCATTACAATATCAAATTTTCTGTTTACTTTGGCGATTTTCTCGCTCACCTAGCATGTCATCAATATGAAACTTGGCCATTTGTCTGCTTTTATTATAAAGCTTATAATATGCAAAAATCAGACTGATCGCACGTCTATTTTGGGCTGTAGTATCACAAGTTTAAATAGTTTGGTTTCAGAGTTTCCTCATACAAGTAGGGCAGCTATTGCAGTTCATATAGAGGGTGTAGGGTATAGCGATTGCTCAATTTCCTTTCATTTTTTTTCTTATTCATATTTTTTAAAATTATACTTACTCTACTTTTTGTTTTGGCGGCACACGATCTTTCATGCAAATTGCGTTCGGATATGTGAGTGTGCGTGGGCGTCTAAATATAGATATATGTGTGTGAGTTTATGTACACACATGTGGAGCAAACAAGCTGCAGCCCTTTCGGTTATTGAACATATTGAATTTTGAGCATTTACTGCGAGTATGAGTGATTCTGATTCTGATTCTGATTCATTTAAGCGGAAATCAACTGCAATCGTTGTCGTTCACAATGACTACTCATTCATTGTCCCTCTCCCTCCAGCCTTTGTTTACATTCCGCCAGGAGGCCAAGCGGCAGAGGGAGCGGGATGGAAAGGAGGAGCGTGCTAACGGAACGTGCGCTGCTTGACAGCTTGCTGTGTTGCTGCCTCTCTTCCCTTCTTCCTGCCTTCCTTGATTCTTGTTTTGGTGTGTGTGTGTTTGTGTGGTTTTTGACGCCACAAGAAAACAAAAAAACACGCACACCCCACCCACACACCTTTATAAATCCATTTATCCAACGCAGCGCCCTTGTTTCACTGTCTGAGTGTGAGAGATGAGTCATCTCCCTGGCCAAGTTGATGAGAAAATAAAATTAAACATTAAGGTAGAGCAGCAAAAACAACAAAACGAATGAAGCAGGCAAAAGCAGAAAACGAAAAGGGGGGCAGATGTTGCGGGCAGCCTTAAAAGCAAGCAAAAAGTGTGGAGAGAGAGAAAAAAGAGGGGATAGAAAGCAATGCACAGCAAATACGAAACAACAACAGCATCAGCTGAACTTCATTTACAGTGAACTCCACTTACGCTTACGGTCGAAAAAATAGCACAAGTTGTATTAAACTTTAGTATTTTGCTTTAGTTACAACATATTTCTTGAAATATGTATAAATATAGATCTCAAAATTGATTTCGCGTTAAATCTCCTTATTGGTATATATTTTTGGAGACTTCTTGACAGTGTTTTGTGTATATTTTTGCGCCCGCCACTGTAGTTCTTGTGATTCTGATTGGGAAACTAATCATTTCAATTGCTTTCTCCTCATTCCAGCTGCACGCTTCCAGTAAAGCGACAGAGAACGCCGAGAGAGCGAGCAAGACGCACGGAGAACCCTCCTCCAGCACCATCCTTCCAGCACACAGACACAGAAGGACTCACGATGATCCTCGGGAGGACGAGGATTAACCTGGGAGCTCTGCTCTTAGGATTCTGCCTGCTGGCCGCCATAACGCTGGCCGCGGTGGCCCAGAAGGCGGGCAAACTGACACAGAACCCGTGCGGGGCCAAGGACAAGTGCCACACGTGCATCCAGACCGAGAGCTGCGCCTGGTGCATGCAGCCGGACTTCAAGGGACAGTCGCGCTGCTTCCAACACACGAGCAACGTTTGCCCCGAGGAGTTTGTCTGGAATCCGGACACCTCCGAGCAGATTCTCCTCAACAAGAACCTTACGCTGGCCGGCACAGCTTCGGCGGCGGGCATAGGAATGGGCGCCGGTGGCTATGGAGCTGGCGGTGCTGGTTATGGCGCTGGTTCCGCCGGCTATGGCGGTGCTGGCTATGGCATCTCTGGCAGCAGTTCGAGCTCCTATCACAGCTCATCCTCCTCCTCCTCGTCCATGTCCAGTTCCTATGGCTCGGAATACTCAGCGGGTTGGTCATCCAGCGAAATTGTCCAGATCAAGCCACAGTCGGTGAAGCTGAAGCTGCGCATAAGTGAGTAGAGATTGCATCTCCTAGTATTCCATCGTTAAATCCATCCTCCGATTGTTTACAGACCAAAAGCACGATCTGAAGGTGAGCTATACCCAAGCAGAGGGCTATCCCGTGGATCTGTACTATCTTATGGACCTGTCCAAGTCCATGGAGGATGACAAGGAGAAGCTGTCGGCGCTGGGTGATAAGCTGTCGGAGACAATGAAGAGTATTACGTCGAACTTCCGTCTGGGCTTTGGCTCCTTTGTGGATAAGGTCCTGATGCCCTATGTGTCTACGATACCCAAAAAGTGAGTACGGCTCTATAAAGGTAGAATAAGTTAAGGAAATAATGATTGTAATCTTTGATTATCAAGTTGCGAAGCGACAAGTCTTGTATTGTTTTGACTCTTCTAGACTTGAAATTATGTGATATCATAGGATTGTCCTTAAAAGACCCTTAGTTTTAAATGTTTAAAGTAAATTTTGTTAAGATTAGCTCCTAAGAAACGCTCTGTAGTAGTCATAGGCCTGATATCGGAGATTAGTCAGCGCTTAGCCGGAAACTGCGATGACTTAATGAGTGACTGAGTGACTCCTTGACCACTTATAACCGTGAGTCATGTGTGCAGCCATGACTCTGATTGACAGTTTACGAACTTAACTCTCTTTCTCTCTTGATTAATGCCAAATTCAAGCTAATTTCTATCTAACTTGTTGAAATATCTGTGTACTTACAACCACACCATGAACACCAATCAACAACAAACTCAACAAACATCAACAACAACAACAACAACGCGACGAATCGCATCGAATCGGTAGACTCGAGCATCCCTGCGACAACTGCAAGGCTCCCTATGGTTACCGCAATCACATGCCACTCAACAATAACACCGAAAGCTTTTCTGTAAGAGACGACGATAATACTTGCTTAACCATCGCATACATGCAACACCAACAAACATATATCCTGTGCCTGCCTGCTACTCTCCCTACCTCCCAGTAGATCCTCCCATTCCGAGTCACAATGTGCATGTTTTCCTCACTCTACCTCTCACTCGTGCTTGTCTCTCTATTATGCGTATTTCGTATTATTATTATTACTATTACTATTACTATTATTACGATCTCTCAGATATATCCATTATGCATTAAGCCCTAGTCATAAGTTTGTGTCTCTGTGTGTACTCTGTGTGTGTGTATGTTTGCTGGTGAGCAGGAACTCAGCACATCTCTCTCGACACTACTCCCGACTATATAGCGTATATATAGATATATATCGTAACTATATCGTAATTATCTGCACCACTCGATGTTGTCAACAAAATCCGTATTTATCCTTTCTTCTTTTTCGTTTGTTTCTCTCTCTCTATCTCTTTTTTTAATTTCATTCATCCATCTATATATCTATTTATATTGTATTCGAAAAATTGCCCGAATTCGATAATATCCGATATACGAAATTTAAAACCGATAAAAAAAACTAGCCTGGTGGAGCCCTGCCCCAAATGCGATGCTCCCTATGGCTATCGAAACATCATGGGCTTGAGCACGGACACATATAGATTCTCTGTAAGTGGTCATCGCCCCCACAATCCATCGCATCCATATCGGATCCATCGCCTCATTGCCTTGCACTTAACTCTCGGCCCGTGACCTACATATTCAATTTTACATCCTTATTCATACATTATTATAACATTAATTCAGTTCAGTTCAGTTCATTTCAAATTCAAGTTCAGTTATTTGATTTGCATCTTGGTTTTGGTGTTGCGATATTGTAAATGTTGTTATACTAATACTTATCTACTTACGTAATTAATTTATTAGAGTCCAGCATTAATATAATCATAATTTAACTTTAGATATTAGATGTGACTTGGTTGTTGGTTATTTATTGGTTACCTGGTATCCCCTTTGTCTTGTGTAATTATCCTAACCAAGCTGGCACACTCTGGATTAGTAAAGAAACCTGGGTAAAACTCGAATAATAGGGATTTAGGGTCACTGGATAATATATTTATATAGATGGTCTGCTTCCCAAATGCTTCTAGTTTATATATCCCTGTACTCAAAGGCTTCTCCGATTTTATAAACCAGCTTTTGTTGCTAAGTTGAGAGGGTCTTAATGTCCTGTATGGCTAATAGTGTCCTTGGTTCCGTAGAAAAAGCTGTCTAGATCTCAGAGACTAAAAGAGGTATAGCTACCAAGTTTGGTGCAAACATTTGTAGCGCATTTAGGCATATAGAAATGGTTTTAATTAATATTACCACGCCCCCTAACATAGAAAAGGCCTCCTCTTAGCCTGGTAGCCTTGAGAAACTCTTTAAAAAGTATTCCTAAAAAATGTGACGAATTACTCATAGCCTTGCTGTATATATAGTATCTTATCTTACGCAGAAACACTTATCTTTTGCGCTAACACTAACTATACCCATATTTATATATTGCTATATTGCTATATTGAGCTATTGATAAGGTTTAACGTGGCTTTGTTTGCTAACCGAATGGATTTCTCAACTAATCCTAGAAGGCTTTGGGAAGAGCAGGATGTGTGCCAGCAGCAGGAGCTTGCTATAACCCTAACTGCTTGCCTGATCAAACACAATCACCATCACTAATTACTACCATCACTAATGTGAAAGATTCTTTAAATAACTCTCTAAATTTCGACGATATTCCTGGCAGAACGAGGTAAAGGATGCGGCCGTGTCTGGTAATCTGGATGCACCCGAAGGTGGCTTCGATGCCATTATGCAGGCCATTGCTTGCCGCCAGCAGGTGGGATGGCGTGAACAGGCCCGTCGTCTGCTCGTCTTCTCCACGGATGCAGGCTTCCACTATGCCGGCGATGGCAAATTGGGCGGTGTGATTGCACCCAACGATGGTGAATGTCATCTGAATCCCCAGGGCATGTACACGCACTCAACGGTACAGGATTATCCCAGCATATCGCAGATCAATCAGAAGGTCAAGGAGAATGCCATCAATATTATCTTTGCTGTTACCCGCAATCAGATCTCTGTCTACGAGAAGCTCGTCGGTCACATTCAGGGCTCCTCGGCGGCGGTGCTGTCCAACGATTCGTCCAATGTGGTGGATCTGGTCAAGGAGGAATATGCTGTGAGTATGAGAAGACAATTCAAAAGGAAGAAATCTAATGTAACCTCTCTATTGATAGAAAATCTCCTCATCGGTGGAGATGAAGGACAATGCCACTGGCGATGTAAAAATCACCTATTTCTCATCCTGCTTGGGCGGCGGACCCGAGCTGCAGACCTCCAAATGTGACAACCTGACGGTGGGCCAACAGGTTAGCTTCACCGCTCAGATACAGGTGCTCAAGTGCCCCGAGGATCCGCGCGATTGGAACCAATACATTCAAATCTATCCCGTGGGCATTAACGAGAGCATGCTCATCCATTTGGAAATGCTTTGCGCGTGTCCATGCGAACAGCCCGGCTCCACCGGTTATGAGAAACATTCGCGGCACTGCAACAACTTTGGTACCTTCATGTGCGGCATCTGTGACTGCGATGAGCATCATTTTGGAAATAGCTGCGAGTGCTCCGTCTCGGATATGAATTCCACCATAAACAACGATGCCAGCTGTCGGGCGGATAATACAACGACGACGGACTGCTCTGGCCGTGGCAATTGCGTGTGCGGCTCCTGCGAGTGCTTCAAGCGAACCAATCCCGACGAGGTCGTCTCTGGCAAGCTTTGTGAGTGCGATAACTTTAGCTGCGAACGGAATAAGAACCAATTGTGCTCCGGCCCGGACAATGGCATCTGTGACTGCGGACGTTGCATCTGTAAGCCCGGCTGGACGGGCACCAGTTGCGCCTGCAAGGCCTCCAATGATACCTGTATGCCACCCGGTGGCGGTGAGATCTGCTCCGGTCACGGCACCTGCGAGTGTGGCGTCTGCAAGTGCACGGTGAATGATCAGGGTCGCTATTCGGGTCGTCATTGTGAGAAGTGCCCGACGTGCTCGGGTCGGTGTCAGGAGCTAAAAGACTGCGTCCAGTGCCAAATGTATCATACGGGCGTCCTCAAGAACGTCGACGATTGTGCCCGCAACTGTACGGCATTTACGCCCGTTGGGGTGGACAAGGTGGTGATCGATGAGCACAAGGATGAGCAGATGTGCACGTTCTTCGACGAGGATGACTGCAAGTTCATGTTCAAGTACAGCGAGCAGGGCGACCTCATTGTCCATGCCCAGGAGGAGAAGGAATGCCCGCCCAAGGTTTTTATGCTGGGCATCGTTCTCGGCGTCATAGCAGCCATCGTTCTGGTCGGTTTGGCCATTCTGCTGCTGTGGAAGCTGCTCACGACCATCCATGATCGCCGAGAGTTTGCCCGCTTCGAGAAGGAGCGCATGAACGCCAAGTGGGATACGGTATGTACACACTATATTGGATACGGGATTTGATCAGGGAAATTACTGTATAGAAAATATTATTGAAATTTAAAGAAGAAAGGGAATCAATATTTATCCATATTTTTATATTGCAATTTTCTCTACAAATCAAAGTTTAAAAACTCATAACTAAGCCAAAAATGCATTAATTTTAATTCCGAAAGCTGTTCTGTGTTAGTTTTTAATAAATTATTAAAACTGCATACTCCATTTAACATTTAAGACAATTCCAGTTTTTGACAATTTTTCAAAATTCGATTTCCACAATTTTAGGCCTTACAAAATTGTGAAATTTTTGAAAAAAATTAAATTGTGGCGGACAAAGCTAGATCGACTCGGCTGTTGATGCTGATCAAGAATATATATGATTTATAGGGTCGGAAATGACTCCTTCATTGAGTTTTAAGCTTCTGACTAAACCTATATCCAATTTTTGAGTCGATAATTATTAATATTTTTATATGCAATTTTAACTAAAAATTAAAATTTAAAAACCTCATAACTACGTCAAAAAGCATTAATTTTAATTCGGAAAGCTGTTCTGTGCTAGTTTTTAATAAATTATTAAAACTGCATACTCCATTTAACATTTAAGACAATTCCAATTTTTGGCAATTTTTCAAAATTCAATTTGCACAATTTTAGGCCTTAAAAATTGTGAAATTTCTAAAAAAATTAAATTTGTGTCGGACAAAGCTAGATCGACTCGGCTGTTGATGCTGATCAAGGATATATATGATTTATAGGGTCGGAAATGACTCCTTCATTGAGTTTTAAGCTTCTGACTAAACCTATATCCAATTTTTGAGTCGATAATTATTAATATTTTTATATGCAATTTTAACTAAAAATTAAAATTTAAAAACCTCATAACTACGTCAAAAAAGCATTAATTTTAATTCGGAAAGCTGTTCTGTGCTAGTTTTTAATAAATTATTAAAACTGCATACTCCATTTAACATTTAAGACAATTCAAATTTTTGACAATTTTTCAAAATTCAATTTCCACAATTTTAGGCCTTAAAAAATTGTGAAATTTTTGAAAAAATTAAATTGTGGCGGACAAAGCTAGATCGACTCGGCTGTTGATGCTGATCAAGAATATATATGATTTATAGGGTCGGAAATGACTCCTTCATTGAGTTTTAAGCTTCTGACTAAACCTATATCCAATTTTTGAGTCGATAATTATTAATATTTTTATATGCAATTTTAACTAAAAATTAAAATTTAAAAACCTCATAACTACGTCAAAAAAGCATTAATTTTAATTCGGAAAGCTGTTCTGTGCTAGTTTTAATAAATTATTAAAACTGCATACTCCATTTAACATTTAAGACAATTCCAATTTTTGGCAATTTTTCAAAATTCAATTTGCACAATTTTAGGCCTTAAAAAATTGTGAAATTTCTAAAAAAATTAAATTTGTGTCGGACAAAGCTAGATCGACTCGGCTGTTGATGCTGATCAAGGATATATATGATTTATAGGGTCGGAAATGACTCCTTCATTGAGTTTTAAGCTTCTGACTAAACCTATATCCAATTTTTTGAGTCGATAATTATTAATATTTTTATATGCAATTTTAACTAAAAATTAAAATTTAAAAACCTCATAACTACGTCAAAAAAGCATTAATTTTAATTCGGAAAGCTGTTCTGTGCTAGTTTTTAATAAATTATTAAAACTGCATACTCCATTTAACATTTAAGACAATTCCAATTTTTGGCAATTTTTCAAAATTCAATTTGCACAATTTTAGGCCTTAAAAAATTGTGAAATTTCTAAAAAAATTAAATTTGTGTCGGACAAAGCTAGATCGACTCGGCTGTTGATGCTGATCAAGGATATATATGATTTATAGGGTCGGAAATGACTCCTTCATTGAGTTTTAAGCTTCTGACTAAACCTATATCCAATTTTTTGAGTCGATAATTATTAATATTTTTATATGCAATTTTAACTAAAAATTAAAATTTAAAAACCTCATAACTACGTCAAAAAAGCATTAATTTTAATTCGGAAAGCTGTTCTGTGCTAGTTTTTAATAAATTATTAAAACTGCATACTCCATTTAACATTTAAGACAATTCAAATTTTTGACAATTTTTCAAAATTCAATTTCCACAATTTTAGGCCTTAAAAAATTGTGAAATTTTTGAAAAAATTAAAATTGTGTCGGACAAAGCTAGATCGACTCGGCTGTTGATGCTGATCAAGAATATATATGATTTATAGGGTCGGAAATGACTCCTTCATTGAGTTTTAAGCTTCTGACTAAACCTATATCCAATTTTTGAGTCGATAATTATTAATATTTTATATGCAATTTTAACTAAAAATTAAAATTTAAAAACCTCATAACTACGTCAAAAAAGCATTAATTTTAATTCGGAAAGCTGTTCTGTGCTAGTTTTTAATAAATTATTAAAACTGCATACTCCATTTAACATTTAAGACAATTCAAATTTTTGACAATTTTTCAAAATTCAATTTCCACTATTTTACGCCTTAAAAAATTGTGAAATTTTTGAAAAAATTAAAATTGTGTCGAACAAAGCTAGATCGACTCGGCTGTTGATGCTGATCAAGAATATATATGATTTATAGGGTCGGAAATGACTCCTTCATTGAGTTTTAAGCTTCTGACTAAACCTATATCCAATTTTTTGAGTCGATAATTATTAATATTTTTATATGCAATTTTTATTAAAAATTAAAATTTAAAAAACTCATAACTACGCCAAAAGAGCATTAATTTTAATTCCGAAAGCTGTTCTGTGCTAGTTTTTAATAAATTTTTAAAACTGCATACTCCATTTAACATTTAAGACAATTCCAGTTTTTGACAATTTTTCAAAATTCAATTTCCACAATTTTAGGCCTTAAAAAATTGTGAAATTTTTGAAAAAATTAAAATTGTGTCGGACAAAGCTAGATCGACTCAACTGTTGATGCTGATCAAGAATATATATGATTTATAGGGTCGGAAATGACTCCTTCATTGGGTTTTAAGCTTCTGACTATTATTATAATACCCTTCAAGGGTTTAAATATATCATATATCTTAGCTAATCTTTCTCTTCTTTCGATTGCAGGGCGAGAATCCTATCTACAAGCAGGCCACCTCCACCTTCAAGAACCCCATGTACGCGGGAAAATAAATAACAACTTAAAAATCAAAGGCGGAACATGAACATCTCTAAGCTAAAAATTAGTGAAAAATTACGTGTGTCGTCGTCGTGTCTGTGCTTTTGAAGAAACTAACAGGAAACCAGGAAAACCCCCCACAACAGCCAATATATATATATATATTATATGTTCAGAACCGATACCGAAACGACGAAGGGTGCAAGAACCACGAAAGTCAAACTGCCATTGAAAACGCCTTCTAAACTAAGTCAGTCCCCCATATAGTATATATATTTAATATATATATATACACTGAACGAGCAAAACGATTTGTGCCTTGCAAAAACATATATATTTTAGACTTTATATATATATATATCTATATACAAGAGCTTCCAGCAGGAGGACAACGCACAACAAAGCTACACACGATACAAAAACACACACACAACACACAAGAAGCGCCAGCAAACGATTATGAATTATGTATGATTTTGTGTTCTTTTTTTGTTAGTTTGTATTTTATTTTATTTTTGTACGCGTATCTTTTTGTTTAAAAGAAAATTCAAGAATTAATGGATGGCCCCTGTTCCCATCCGAGTCCCCCTCTTAACCTTTTCCTTCCCTGTATTTGTTTTATATTAAAAAAGAAACACAATCTAACTTTAAAAATTAATATTTAAGCGTATTAACATTTAAGCTTGTAATTGTTAATTGTAGCCGCCTTTTTTATTTAATCATTTTTATAATAATTATTTTTTTACAAAATGAAAACGAAAAAGGAAGACCAGAGGAAAAAAAATAAGAAAAACAGAGAACCTAATGTGTTTTTATATTTCTTTTTTTTTATTTTTTTGTAATAATTAGTCTGTGTGTTTTTTGTTTTATTATTGAATTTTCTTCGGTTCATTAATAGTAAATTAATACTACTATATAAATATATATACACATATATATTTTTTGCCATTTGTACTGATTACTGATTAACAAAAAAAAAATATTTAAAGCGTAGCAGAAGAAAACGAGTTGGTTTTTAAACGTGTTTTGAGTAATTTTTTATTAATAATGATAAAAAAAGGAGAAACCGATAAACAAATTAAAAAAAGTGGAAAATAAAATTGTTTTGATGCTAATTTTTAGTGAAATAAAAATGAGAAAAAAGAAGATAATTGAAAAGATTTAAATCATTGTTTTTGGGAAGAGGATTCTTCTTCGGCAAATCTTTTTTCTTTAGAATTTCTTTTAGAAAATTTTAAATGAAAATAAAATTATAAACTAATGAAGGTATGAAAGTTGTTGTTGGAAAAGCGTTTCTTCTTCGGCAATTCTGGAGAGGCTTCTTTTAAAAAAGAAAGAGAGAGAAAAACAACTAAGATCTGTCTCTTTCTCTCCCTCTCTTTTATTTTCACTGATTTCAGACCGTTTTTGCTTAAAATAAAAGTCAAATAATGTTGTAAACACATCGAACATGAATGCCCAGTTTATGTACATCGAATATATAAATGTATATAGATATATATATGTATGCATATATATGAATATCTGATCTGTATGTTGTATATATCGTTGTATACATTAGGTTCTGTTTTTGAAACAAGTCTAGGCAATGGTACGTACTATGTATGTAGTATTAAAGATATAGGGTTAAGGTTGGAGTTACATCTGCGGCAGTGGCAGATGCAGAGGCTGTTCGTTTCTGTTCCATTCTGTTCTGTTCTATATATTATGTACATTATAATATCGAGGACGAGTACGAGTGCCACTTACTCATGGCTTGAGCTGGCTGCGATTGCGAGGGCTTCCTGGCATCTGTTTGTCTGTCTTCTGTCTCCGAGTGGCTTCATTCTTGTCTTCAGTTTTGTGGGCTTAAGTACGGCTTCTGAGGTGTGTGTTTTTGTGTGTTTGTCTGCTGGGAGCCTGCACGTAGTGGGCTCTTGGAGCCACGTCCTCTCCCTTTCGCGTTCTCAGTCGCAATCGCAGTCACAGGAGGAGTAGCTGGTAGCTAATAGCAACCCTAGTTCCGTTTCCTGGTCCCTGTTCTCAGTGAAAGATGAGATCCGCATCGGGGGCGCCTTTCTGGTGCTTGAACTTGTGCTTGTTCGACTTCTGGTAGTAGCTTTGATGGCCAAAATTGCGCTGCTGTGGCGGCAGCAGTGACTCCTGGTAGTCCTCCTCTTCGATCCGCTCCGTTATGTTCAGGGTTAAGCGCTTAACCTTCTCCTTCTCCTCGCGTATCGCCTGCTCCTGACGCTTCAGGTTGATGGCCAGATGGGAGTCCGAGGCGGCCACAAAGGACTTGAACTGCTGCTTGCCACCCTTGTGACCGCGAACCATAAGGACGAAAGGTACATTACTTCCTCCTCCTCCTCCTCCGCCTCCGCCTCCAGATTTGGTGCCCTCGGCTAGAGCTTCTTGGCCGCCGCCACTTGTGGTGATGGCCTGCAAGCCTGGAGCTGCATCGGGCGTCACAACGGCTGCCTTTGAGATCTGCAAGGAGGCCTGACCCGAGCTGCCATTAATCTGATCGTAGGATTTCTTCTGCAGGCGTGCTGTCATCGGCACCGGTATATCCTTGGCGGTGGCCTTTAGCGGCTCCTTCATGCGCTCCTGGTACGAGTCCGTGGTCATCTTCTCGTACATCTGCTCAAACTCGAGATCCTCCTTGGACTTCTCCGGTGGTGGTGGCGGCGGCAGCGGTGGCTCTGTCTCATTCTCCGTCCAATCATTGGACTGTTCCGGCTCCGCCTCCTGGTTATCGGCCACCTGGCGCTCCCGCTGATCGTTGGACGAGCCCGAATCGTCCTCATCGGTGACCTGTGGATGTGTAAAATAATGCATATACTCGAAAAGGAAACCTCCCAAGAGTAGCTTACGTTCTCCTCCATCTCGTTCATCTCGCTAATGGTGCCTAGCGCTGGGTCCTGGGCAGCTAAGTTGCTGTTGCTGCTATGGACGCCACTGCTGCTGCTGCTGTTGGCCTTCAGCTGGGGATATAGCTTCTCCTGCAGCTGATCAATCGCCGCCTTGGCCTGTTCCAAGCTCTTGTACAGCTTCAGCTTGGGCCTCACGCCGGACAAGCAGTCGCGATAGGTGTGATCCACCAGGATGGGAAAGAGATCGGAGGTATTCTCCGATCGGCTGAACACGGGATGCGATTTCTTGAACCAATAATAGTGCTGGAAGAACACCAGGAAGTAGTCCAGTCTGCAAAAAATGCAAGGAAATGATAAGAGAACAAAATATTGAACCAGGAGCATCCCAATACTCACTTCTTGCGCGTGGCCTGACTGGTGAAATAGGGTCCACACGTGTCCAGCAGCATGCAGGCAAGCTTCAGTCGGAACAGGCTATCCGGCGGATCCAGGGGCGAGATGACGTTCTGGTCCATGGATACGCCCAGCGATATGATCGAGTAAAGGGTGTTGAGAATGTGCGTCGACTCCACCAGCTTGTAGTTGTACATCTCGCCCAGATACTTGGCCATCGCTATTCGTCGCTGGGCCATTCGCGGCGAATGGATCTCCAGACCGGCACGTATATCCTCAAAGACATTGTCAATGACAACGGTCACCGCACGCGGCTGATAGGAGCTCAGTCCTGACACAAGATCCGCCAGACACCGGACCAGGGGGAAGCGCAGCAGGTAGGCCTTGCTGAGGCACTTGATCGCATAGCTGTTCGTCTCCGGATCCTGCCAGTCGATGCGTCGCAGCATCTTGATGCAGCGCTCCACATTCTGCTTGCACAGCTCCTCGAAGATCAGGTGGCGGATGTACTCGTGCATGGGCGGACGCGGTGTGAGCTCACGTTTCGATGACTCTGGCGGCTTGACCAAATAGTAGACACTCTCGATCTGGGCCGCGTGACGCGAATCCATGGCCGTGGCCGTCTTCATGCGCAGCATTTGATCCAGGAAGACATTCATCAGGAGCCGGGCATCACGGCAATTGTACAAATACACACCGCTGACCTCCACAAAGGCGCAGGCCATCTCGATCTGATGATGCTGGAAGTCGCGCAGCAGCATCTTCAGGCATCCCAAGGCATCGAACTTCTTGAACAGCCCGAACTTGACCAGCTCACCGATGAACCGGACAATCTTCAGCTTCGACTCTATATTCAATTGATTCTTCTTGCGGATGTGCCACTTGAACTCCTTGCGCAGCAGCTCGGCCAGATCGGCAGCCATGTCCGTGTTGCACATATGGATAATGGCCACGAACCGCGACAGGTATGGCAGTATGTCCAGCCGGGTGCGCTGCACCGAGAAGATCGTTCGCGTGAGCTTCTTGCGCTGATGCTTCGTGTTGAAGTTGAGCAGGAACTCGATGGCCGCCGAATCGATGAGCTCCTTGTTGACGCAGTTGAAGAGGTTTAGCAGGAAGGCATCGAACTGTTGACGCAACTGCGTCTGCGATTGGCTTTGGCTGGGATTCTGTTGCGGCTGCTGCTGCTGGCGACCCAGCTCCATGAGGGCATTGCCCATCTTTTGGGGCTTCACCTCCTCGGTGGGCGTTACAGGAGTGCCTGTAGGCACTGCTACCTCCTCGCCCACCACAGTATCCAGTGCTGTATCCGATGTGGTGGATGGCGGATCATCTATATCCATTTCCGCATCTAGATTCGCCTCGATGGCCTCCTCAGTCAACTCGCTGGGCTCCTCCAGTGTCTCCAGGTCCACCTTGGGTGCCGAAAAGTTGGGCAGAAACTGACGCAAGTCGGGCAGATCCGTGTAGAAGGCACGCGTCTCCTCATCACCCCAAGGATCCAGCACACCAAAGGAGGCACTGTCCAGCATATTGTCGATGACGGTGCCCGGATTGCAGCACTCCGACTCTTTGGCCAGCTCTGGCAGCGGCTCTCCCAGCAGCTCCGACAGCGATTGGGCCGAGGCCAGCAGTTTGTCGAATCCTGCCTGCATCAGTTCACATTTCTCACGCTTCTCCGAGGATATCTCACCCTTGCATTCCATGGTCCGGCGTATATTCTTGGTCATGTTCATCAGCTCAGCCTGCTCGGACAGGACGTGTTTGCACAGGGCCTTGAAGTAGCCCTTGAGCATGGTCCTCAGATTGAGCTGCTTGTCGGCGGTGAGGAAGTCCGACTTGGGCACCTCTACCCCATATTTGATGGCCAGTTGCTGCATCTTCTGCGGCACCAAGCCGGCGTACTCCTCGCCGCAGTGACGGCAGAAGGAGAGTATAATCGAGAAATTACTATGATCATCCTTGTCCTGGGCAATCAGATGGACCAGGACTACGCCCAGCTGTGCCAATCCCGGCTTCATCTGGATCACCCCGGAACTAACCAGTTCGGCAAAAAGGCGCAGATCCACCCGGAGCTTGCTGGGATTGCCAATCTTCTCGCCGCTTGCCTTGATGTTCAGCGCCTTCTGCCAGGCCTCCAGAAACTGCATATCAAAGTCCGCATATGTACGATGAAGGCGGGAGGCCAGAATGACCACGGCCGGGACATCGGTCATCTTGAGCTTGGCCTCAGCCAGTGCTGCACAGATTTCCGAGATGTATTTGCTCAGATTGAGCGCGGCCAGCTCGCGCAGCAGTCCATCCAGCTGGGTGGCAGTGAACACCTTGAGTTTCTTCACAAATGCCGTGTTCTTCTTTAGATTGGAGTCCAGGCGCGCAAAATGCTCCTCGCCGGGCAGCTCGAAATTGGAGTTCTCCAGGCGCAACTGACGCTTGCTCTCTATCTTGTCGCGCAGCTCGCTTATGAACTGATCCAGCTCCTCGCGTTCCTCCGCCGAGGCATCCTCCGCTTCTGCCTCCGCCTCGGCTTCCTCCGCTCCTTCCCCTCGCCTCCTCCACTCCGGTTGTTGTTGTTTTCCGCATCTTGGCCAGCAGCAGCAGCGTCAGCGGTGACTGTTGTCGTGGTGCTCGCTGCTGGCTGCGACTGTTCATCGGCGACGGCGGTCGCCTCGGGTGTCGAATCGCTAGCTTGCATGGCGGGATCGGTGCTCGGACTCGATGCGAATCGGTTTCGATTGCTCGTCGCACGCTTCTCGGTTGCTCCGTTTTGAAATTCAATCTGCCAGCAGCCAGAAATCAGATTTCATCTGTGTTTTGTTGCTCGTTGCCTCGACTTTTAGAGATGGCCCAGCGCCGCGCACGGTACCTATCGGTCAAACGGTCACACTGATGGGCGCCAGATGGGCGATAGTTCACGCGGCAATGCTGAAAAACATATATGAATTCTTGGGAAATTAAAGGAAAAACTATTTATTTATTATAATTGTTTATTTTAGTTATATTATAAAATATATTAAATATTAGTTTCAAATTGTAGAAATACATTTGAAAACTAAACCCTGCAATCGATGATTGTATGTACTTTAACCGTCAATTGCTATCGATAGCTGCAATTCGATTTGAAATTAAATCGTTACTTTTTCATTTGACAGAAATTCAAATTTAAAATGTGAAATATACAGAAAAGTACGAAAAATGTGTGTAATGTCATAAGGATTCAATAAATTAAAACTAAAACAGTCCACACACACACCACACTTACAGAAACCTAAGCAAAAATAATATAAATAAAAAAATATATTCATTCTGCAGACCATGCACTCAAACCATTATACCTACACACGCGAGCGGCGTCGCTTCGGTCAGCAATGCCTGTTCCAGGACCGCAACGAGCTGATGGTCAGCATCCATCCCAGCGGCAAGCAGCGACACAAGTACATCATGCGCAATCCCACATGCATGGCCACCCAGCTCAGCAAGCAGACGGCATTGAGTGTGATGGAGACGGAGAATGTGACGCTCGATCAACGCGGCCTATACCACTACGAGGGCGGTTGGCCCAAGGAGGTGAATCCGCTGGACGAGGAGCAGACACAGCGCCACCGAAAGAAGGTGGAGCGGGATGATACCTGGGGCGAGCAGGTCCTCGAGATGATCAGGAAGGTGATGGCCGTTGCCGAGCAGAATAATGCCCTCAATATCTATCAGAATTTCTTTGCCGATTTGTCGCCAGAACTGGGACATGACCTCAAGTTGCCCTATAAGGCTCGCATCATGAATGTGTTCCACGACCTTTGGCTACCAGCCAGAACCATGACCTCCATTGAATGGATGCCCAACAATAATCGGCAGTTTATGGCACACTTTACCAATCAACCATTGCCACTGCCTGCCTCCGAAGGCAACCACAAGCCCAAGGGGCGAGTGTGTCTTCTACCCGAGGAGCCAATTGGCGAACAGAATGGCTTCTATATTTGGGACGTCAAGAATCCGCTTAAGCCGCGTATTTGCTACGATTGCTCGGAGCCCGTCCAGATGGCCAAGATCTGTCCGAAGGACGAGGCCAACATGGTGGGTGGAAGCATTTTGGGGCAGGTCTGCCTGTGGGATACCTTCAAGGGTGGGTTGCCGGTGCGCTCCTGTCCCCTGGAGGTATCCCACAGGGAGGAGACCTCTGCCCTCTGCTGGGTCCACTCCAAATCCAACACCGAGTTCTATTCTGGATCGCTGGATGGCTCCATCAAGTATTGGGATACTAGGGATCTGAAAATGCCGCTGCAAGAGCTACTGCTCGAACCGGAACCTAAGGAGCCGCAGGCCAAGAGTGATGCGCATGGGGTTACGGTCCTGGAATTTGAGTATACCATCCCGGTGCGCTTCATCATCTGCAGCGATATGGGTCACGTCTTTGTGGGCAATCGCAAGGGTATGAATCCCCAGGAGGCCCTCATCGCTCACTATCCCTTGTTCGCCGGCCCCATAAGGAGCATCAATCGAAATCCCTTCTTTGTGAAGAACTTCCTGGTCACGGGAGACTGGCGGGTTCGCATCTGGTCGGAGGAGGCCAAGGATGGCCCGAGTACTATGTATTTTCGGAAAACTAATCAAATTATGTGTGGAGCTTGGAGCACCGGACGGTGTTCCCTGTTCGTTACCGGGGATATCAAGGGCATTGTGGATTTTTGGGATCTGCTGCTGCACCAGCGGAAACCCATTCTTTCCATAGACTTCAAGGTGCCCATTAAGAGTGTGGTCTTTCGGCCGGATGGGGATCTCCTGGCCATTGCTTTGCAGAATGGTGACACACAGATACTCAGGCTGGACGAGTCCATGCGCTCGGCCACCGGCAAGGAGAAGGCCTTAATTGCTGCTGTGGGTTCTCTCTAATTATCCCTTATCCCTGATTAACTAATTAATTATTTATATTAGATGTTCGAGCGTGAAATCTCCCGCAGCAAGCTCCTGGAGGCTCGTGTGGATGAGATGAAACTAAAGCGACGCACAATGCACATGGCCGAGGAGGCACGTCAGGAGCAGCCCACTGTCCCCCTGTTAGAGCTCGATCCCGACAATCCCGATCAGTTTGTGATGATGATCGAGGGCGATGAGGAGCTCCGCAAGGCCATCGAGGACTTCCACGACACGCTGATCAGTGTGGAACGAAAGCGGTCCAAACGCACTGTCATCATGGAACGCACTGTCTTCGAGGGAATGGATATTTACGAAGACAGAGACTTCACGTCCTTCCAGAAGCCGAAGGTCTCAATTCAAGGACATTCGCACGATACAAAGAGCAGGGCATCAGCGGATCACAGAAAATCACATACTGCCGAAATGGAATAGGAGAGCCAGTCATCTTTTAGATCTCTCTCTACCACAAATTAATCAAAATTTATTGTCTAATTACGAATACCGAACTCGATAACTAAATCGAAATAGGGTTTAGTCTGAAAAATCTTGTATTTATTGAGAAGATTATATAAAAAAGGTTTCTTTATAAGTTATATATAAAATTTTAAGACTTTTTTTCTTAAAATTACTAAGAGAACCCATAAATACTCACTCATTGAAGTCTAATTTGAAAGGAAAACAATTTCTTCTCACTCTATGGAGTACTCTTTGGAGACTTTTATTACGACGAAAAAAAAAAAACATAAAATATAAACAATTAGCCCGTCAACGTTTGCTTTTAATTAAGTAATAACCTTCCTAACAGCTAAATTGGCTTGCTAAACTCACTTTCCATGCGGCAATAAGCTGCAGCAATTAAAAGGAGATAATAATTAACACAAATGTTAAGCAGTACTAGTAGTCGTTGTTGTTGTACATAGTTGTAAAAAAAAAAAAACAATGTTAAAGCTTTATGACCTACAGGAATCTCCTCCATAACTCCACTAGTGCTTGTCGGTATCAACTCCCGTGTCGAGGAAATCGTTCACCAAACGCATCGCCTTGCGCGGTATCAGGCGACCGATCTTCTCCACAGCAACAAAGTGACGTGGAATGGCAGCCTCCTCCAGTCCCTGGCGCTGGGCCTCGATAATGGAGGCAGCAGCCGCATCGGCAGAGATCAGTTTGAACAGGCTGGGGAAACGGTAGCGGGGATTCTTGCACAGACCCGTATCGATCATGTACGGATAGATGGTGGTCAGCTTGACCTGGAGATTGAAGGAAAGGGATTGAAAGGAAAGCGGGGAAATAAATTAATTATAATATATATTAACAAACAAGAATTAAAAAAAAAGTAGAAATTAAATAAAAGGTTAGGATAATATAAAATAGTTAAGAAATATCAGAAAAATGCTAATTAACGTGTGCTATATTGACAAAAACAATGCCTTTAATACATGTAATATTAAAAATAGTTGTATATAACTATTTTAAAATATATATAAATATTATTTTGTGCTTAAATTCATCTATATTAATGAAAAACTACAAAATAAAGTGAAGCACTAAGTACACCAGTGCGTATACGTAATATTTAGGAACCGGAAGCGCAGTTTTGTTATGTCATTTCGCTTTTTGGCCGCTAGATGGCTTCCGCGACGTCGTCAAAATAGTCATTAAAACGATTGGTTTACCCTTACAGTGTATAGTAATTTAAGCAAAACTCAATGAAGGAGTCATTTCCGACCCCATAAATCATATATATTCTTGATCAGCATCAACAGGGGAATCTTTCTAGTGATCTCCGACAAAAATGAATTTTTTTTTAAATTTCTCTATTTTTTAAGGTGTAAAATTGTGCAAATTGAACTTTGAAAAATTGTCAAAAATTTAAATTCACTTAAATTTAAAATTGAGTTTGCAGTTTTATTAACTTATTAAAAACTAGCACAAAACAGCTTTCCGAATTAAAATTAATGCTTTTTTGGCGTAGCTATGAGTTTTTTAAGTTTTCATTTTTAGTAGAAATTGCATATAAAAATATAGATAAATATCTACTCAAAAAATTGGATTATACTTATAATCAGAAGCTTAAAACCCAATGAAGGAGTCATTTCCGACCCTATAAATGATATATATTCTTGATCAGCATCAACAGCCGAGTCGATCTAGCTTTGTCCGACACAAATTTAATTTTTTCAAAAATTTCACAATTTTTTAAAGCCTAAAATTGTGGAAATTGAATTTTGAAAAATTGGCAAAAATTGGAATTGTCTTAAATGTTAAATGGAGTATGCAGTTTTAATAATTTATTAAAAACTAGCACAGAACAGCTTTCCGAATTAAAATTAATCCATTTTTGGCTTAGTTATGAGATTTTTAAATTTTAATTTGTCGTAAAATTGGAATATAAAAATATAGTTAATATCGGTTAAAAATGGTAATGCACCTTGAGTCAGAAGCTTAAAACCCAATGAAGGATTCATTTCCGACCCTATAAACTATATATATTCTTGATCAGAATCGACAGGAGAATCTTTCTAGGTATCTCCGGGAGAAAATGAAATTTTCACAAAATTCCCTTTTTCCCAAAAAAAGATAAGGGGTTACATAGTTAAAAATTCGAAAAAATAAACATTTTAAATTTAGTATGCAGTTTTGTTAATCTAATAAAAATTAGCATAGAACAGTTTTCCGATTGAAAATTTATGAATTTTTGACTGAGTTATGATAAATTTTCATTGCAAGAGTTTTAAAGAAAATTACGTATACGCACTGGGGGTGATTGGTATTTAGGTATTTCAAATTTTAAAATAAACAATTGAACTAGTTAGTTAGTTAATTTCTACTAGCAATAAACACGATTGGCATCTTGTTTATAATAATTATATAGTTTTAAATATCCAATGATATCGTAACCATAATATATCAATATCATTAGTATAGATATTATTATACATTCTCATTCTATCGATTTCTTTCTCAAATTCAAAATTATACTCACATTATTTTGGGGATTCTTGTAACGCAGCTCCTCGGCCAGAGCGGCCATGTATCCGCGAACGGCGAACTTGGTGCCGCAGTATGGAACCAGATTAATCAGCCCAAAGAGACCGGCACAGGAGGACAGAGCCACAATGCTACCCTCGTTCCGCTCCACCATGTCGGGCAGGAAGGCCTGGATCATCCAGAAGTGCGACAACACATTGATGTCGTACATCAGACGGATCTCGTTCTCGGTGTGCTCCAGCAGGGGATGGCAGGGCATGATGCCGGCATTGTTGACCACCACATGGATGAAGCCATGCTCCTTGCGCACCTTCTGGGCCAGCTCCAGCAGCTCCTCCCGCTTGGTCACATTGCAGACGTAGCCGTGGGCCTTGCCGCCGCTCTTCTGGATCTCCTTCACCGTCTGGTTGTTGGTCTGCTCATTCACATCCCAGCAGATGACGGTGGCCCCCAGTTTGGCATATTGCTGGGCCATATGCTTGCCCATGCCATGGCCAGTGCCGGTGATCAGGACCACCTTGCCGCCGACCTCCTCGAGTGGAGCGGGACGGAACAGGTTAACTATCGCCTCCACAATGGCAATCCAGAACTTGACGATCAGCATCACAATGTCCACGATCAGGAGGACAATGTTGTAGATGTCGGTGCTGTTGCCATTGTTGCTGTTGCCAGCACTGGTAATGGAAAAGAGAAAATATTTTAAGAAATCTTTAAACATTTTTAAGAGTGATGGAAAAATCAAAGGTAGCTAGATTAGGTATTAGGGAGTTTATTTTTTAATAAATTCCAATTAAATATGGTATAAATATAAATGTCTGGAAGAAAGCAACCTTTAATTTTGAATTCCACTTGAAATTCAAGAACTAATTTTAAACCAAAAACATTGTTTCTATTATAATCCCGCTTCCGTCTTTAGTTAATAAACTCAATTAACACATTCCATCTTGATAACAATATAATTCTTATTAAAATAAAAAAAAAATGGATTATTATAACACAATTATATTTGCATTTAATGCAAGTGATAATTAATCTTTACTCTTAAACTTGACTTCTGACGTGGAGACTGTGACATTGAACCCAAACTAACTCATTTAGTTAAGTGTGGTAATTAAGCTAATGGGTGATATCTTTATATTTATATAAAAAGTATACATGTAGTAATTGAAATGCTGCAACTGTCATTACCTGAACCACCTTTAAGCCGATTGACCTTTCATGTAAACCCTTTGATTTGAAATAATTGCAACATTTCTTTAACTTGCTACATTTTAAGATTGTATAGTATATATATATTAAGATATATACTTTTTTTCTGATGTCAAAAGAAGTAATTAAGATAATATAATTATAAAAGTTATACCCAGTGTAAAAATAAGCTAAATTATAAGGAAATTGTATAATATTTTAGAGGTATTATCAATCTATTAGTACCTCTGGTATATCTTTGTTTTTCTTTAACTCCTATTTGAGCTTGTCATAATTTCCCTATATTTTTCTGGCTGTATAGAAATCATAGCTTTATATAGAATTATATCTCTCTTATTTTTTGTGAGGGTCTTTTGTGGGAAGTGCGTGCTGTTGTTAGTTTTGACCCTTGATCCCAGCATCATTATTATTATAAAAACAAAAAAAACAATAAAACTAAAATGGAGTGAAGTGGAGCGGAATGTGAGTCGGGGTCCAAGTCTGGCCTAATCCGGAGAGTCCAACTCTTGCATGACCAGAGCCATCACATCACATCACATCACATTTGGGGTGTGCGTGTGTGTGAAGCTTATCGTCATGTCGGGTGACCTTTTTGGCATCCTCAGCTCAGACTCCTCCTCCCTCAGCTACACTCCAAGAAAATATTCTATGAAACTATAACAATTATAAAGATCAAGTCTAACTAAAGCCTAGAAAAGATATTCAAGTTCTTAAGATCTCTTATTAGATTTCTGTTTAAGCTTCATCAGAATACTAAACAACATAAACTTTTCACTTGAAACTCACTTACTTTTACTTATTTTTTTTTATAGATTAAAGCTTATATTTTTTAATGGTTTTTTGAGTGACTCTTCATGGGTCTGGGAAAAGTGGGTGTTCAGCGTTTTTCCCAGCTCGTTTTCATGTTCTTTCTAATTACACTGTTTGCCGGCGCTGCAGCTGCGTGCCTCGATCTTGGTCATATATGGCACAGATATTACTACATGTAGTTCAGTAAATATATATCTATATATATGTTTATATATAGATGATGATCGTGCCACTCCCGCACTTCCACTTCCACAAAAAAAAAATGATTCAAAAAACGTAGAATAAAAAAACGCCCTTATCGCCGGCACTTCTGGAATGCTATTTATAAATAAATAAAACACCTTCTGACTTTCGCTGAGAGCGTGCCGATACCAATGAATGTCGTGTTGTTTCCAAGAAAAGTGCAACCCACAAATGGAATTAACCCCAGTTGGATTTATACTGAAATATTGCTTGATATGGGATGTTAAAGTCAATACAATATCTAGAAAAATATTAATTGAATTATATTATATTGTTATGAAAAAATATTCGCATTCTTTGAATCGATATTTAATATTATTTACCTATATATTTATATGGCAATTTTTCCAAAAAATCAAAATTAAAAAAAATCATAACTCAATCAAAAATGCAGTAATTTTAATTCGGAAAGCTGTTCTATGCTAGTTTTTATTAGCTTTATAAATCTGCATACTCCATTTAAAATTAAAAAAAATTCAATTTTTTGTCAATTTTAACGATGTAACCCCTCTTCTTATTTTTTTTAAATTGAAAATTTTCGAAAAAAAAATTTGTTTCTCCCGGAGATAGCTAGAAAGTTTCGCCTGTTAATGCTGATCAAGAATATATATGATTTATAGGGTCGGAAATGACTCCTTTACTTTCTTTTAAGCTTCTGACTAAAATTAAAATACCCGAAAAAGGGTATAAAATAGATCGAATTCCACTAGGATACAAAAAAATGTATACGAAATATCTGATATTTATATATCCATAAATTTATTTAATTTAATTAATTTGTGTAGTAAACCGGAAACCATAAAAATAGGTTTTGAATTATGAAGTTTCTCTTGCAAGATTTCATGCTTAAGGCTTCAAGAAGACTCCCTCGGAAGGTAAAAAGCTCCCCCAAACTCTCAGTTTCATTGCATTGTTTCTTAAAATCTTCTACAACTTTTTAGAATCTTTAGAGATCTATAAACCCTTTGGTTCCACGCATAACTTAAGCACGATCTTTGTTTTGAACTTGATCTGAAGCTGAGGGGTTATTTTAGGAGAGTAATTTTGAGTATTTTCTTTTTTTGGAGTTGGGCTGTCTGGTCAAAGGTGCTCCAGCAGTGATCATCATCGCGGCGGATGGATCTGCTGCAGCAATGAGGTGTTTTCTGAAGCACCTGCTTGAACCCTGCTCTTGGGGAGGTGGCTTCTGGATGGCTGATAACGAGTCTCTGTTATCGCCAATAACGATTATAATGGGACCCTAATGTGAGTGTGTTCCATTGATAAGGCACCGGGCTCCTCGCACTCTCACTCTCTTTCTCACTTGGCTGGCTGTTGTGTTGCCAACAGCTCTGGATTATATATAGTATATATATATTTTTTTTTTAGTTAACACTGACCTTTGCGACACTTTGGTCATGTTCAAAGATTTCTATTGAAAAAGGAATTCCGTAAGGATGTCGGGAGACCAGTTTTTGGGGGCAAACCGTTAGCGGCTGTTAACGAATTCAAACTGAAAATTGTACAGCTAAGTAAACACCGCACTACGCACCGCTCCGTGCCGCCGGTCGTATAAGTTATTATTTCAAATCTACACACACACCCAGATACTCGCTCGTACTTTCAGATACACCACACTACTCATAGATACAGATACAGAGCAACAGTCGCAGCTGCGACTGCGACTGCGACTGCGACAGAGCGTTCTATAAACATTGCTCCGACACATGTTCATCCGATCCGATCCGATCCGATCCGATCTATATGGAACGAGCCCAAGTTCCGTCCCCGGCTAGGGGTGCTCCAATATGTGTGTGTGTTAATCAGGGTCCGATAGTAATAATACCAAGACTAAAAATGACATATATGTCATATAAAAATATACACACAGCCGATACAAACGACAGAGCTATCCCCCAGATGCAAAGATACATTTCTCTAGAGATTTGGTATAGAGAAAAGGGGTCTCCCTTAGACTGTAGCAAGTTCATCGATCAGTTCCCTCTTTTATTTATATATTCTCAGCATGATGAATAGGAAAATGGGAGATAAGGACTTGATCTTTGACCTCCTCTATAGAACTCTTTCAAAGTCAACTAATCTTATAGAATTCTGGGGTATTCATAAGCAAATGCTTTTGGGGACTTAAGATATTTTTATTTTATAAACATATAGAGTACTTCGTATGCCATGTAATAGCAGAGAAATGGCACTAAAGTCAGTGAAACTTAAATAAAAAATATATATAAATGTATAAAAAACATTTAGGATTTGTAAATTATATAAATATATATATTTTATTCTATAATAATTAAAATTATCTCTTTTTCATATCTAAAAAAATGTAATTCCGCTTATTGAACCTTGAAAAGATCACATTTATACCTTGTACAGTTGACCCCATTGATCCTAGCTTATCTGAAGTTGCGATTAGATTGGCAGTTCCTCCGGGGTCCTTGTGTCCTTAGGAGCTGCCAACTCACCATGATCAATAAGTTTGCGCAATACTTACTTTGTGGGTCAAAGTATGACTATCCCCTGAGAACTCACTCCAGTCATATCGATAAGCGATAAGCGAGATTAGTCAGGCAGGCAAATAAATACAAAATTGCAATCACTTTTATGTATGTATATATATACATGTATGTATGTTCTATATACATATATATAAAGTTGCATTTCAACATTTTGATTACATATTTGCGTAAGGGCTACGTAATACTGCGGATCAACAAAGTGGTCAAGTACCAGTCGACATATCCATATAATTAATTCATTAACTTATATAGAATAATGGGGCGGCTACAGGGATTAACCCATTCAACTCAATGTAGAATGGGTTACTTCCTAGTTGAAAATTACCTTTAATTAACTCATTAAATGTTTATCAGCCATAGGTTAACGATTACGAGTATGACTTGGTCTCATTTGTAATAAGGTTTAATAACTTTATAAAGTAAAAAATGCAAGAGAGTACTAGTTTGTATGGATTTTGATTTAAAGGTCTTAATTTATTTGCTTAAAGTTATTTATTATTTATTAAATAAAATATCTAAAGAGTATCAGCTCTTGTGTTTTATTTTGTTTAATTGTTATATATTGTTTATATAAAGAAGAATAAAGCTATGGCAGCTATATGATATAGTAGTCCGATTTTCATAAAATTTTACACAAAATTCTAGATTAATATTTAATGGCTTTATATCAAATTTGATGAAAATCTGTTGAAAACTGGAAAAGTTATAATTTAAATTCTATAAATCGTCCGATTGTTCCTATGGCATATATATATATGTATATATATAGTCCAGCGATCCGCCATGCTCCGATTTATATCATGGTAAAATTATATTGAAGAATAACTCCATAGTTTCATTCAAATGCTCTTAAATTTGCTCCAAAACAAATCTCGCACATCTGTGCTTATGATTCTCAACTGGTTCAAACATCCCCGGAACGAAGTGACTGCTGCTGGCCTAGTCTCAGACATGTGTTGTGTTACAAAAGTTGCAAGTCATTGTTTATTAGTGTTCAAAGTTAGTAGCTGATCATACGTACATACTTACTGGTCATAGAAATTTACTGATCATAGTTAATTATTGATCATAGATACTTAATGTTCAGAGTTACTTAATGTTTATTGATACTTACTGATCATAGTTAATTAGTTGTCAGAGATACTTACTATTCAGAGTTACTTACTGCTCATAGTTAATTGCTAATTATAGGTTCTTACTAATCATAGTTAAAAAAAATCGTCCGATTGTTCCTATGGCAGCTATATATATGTATATATATAGTTCACCGATCCGCCATGCTCCGATTTATAAATTTGTAAAATTATATAGAAGAATAACTCTATAGTTTCATTCAAATAACTTGCTCTTAACTTCCACAAAATATCTCGCACATCTGTGCATATGATTCCCAACTGGTTCAAACGTCCCCGGAACGAAGTGACTGCTGCTGGCCTAGTCTCAGACATGTGTTGTGTTACAAAAGTTGCAAGTCATTGTTTATTAGTGTTCAAAGTAAGTAACTGATCATACATACATACTTACTGGTCATAGATATTTACTGATCATAGTTAATTACTGATCATAGATAATTACTGATCATAGATACTTACTGTTCAGAGTTACATACTGTTTTATATTTATATAGTCCATTAATCGGCTGAACTTAGAGGCGCCACCAAGGGCAGCCTCTTCCTTTCCGGCCACACAAACTGGGACACCTTGGATCTACGCATTACCCACATTCCGGTTCTCCGATGCCACACGATCCGATCCGGTCCAGCCTGGTCTGGTCTGGTCCACCTTCCATTTGAGTGAAAAGCCGGTGGGTAGGTGAGGTGAGGAGAGGCCAGCCAAGGTAAGTGGGGAAACCCAATGAAATAAAACAATGCCGCTTTGGGCGTTGCATGAATGCATCCAATAGATAAACAAGACTTGTGACAATTGGTTCTAGGTTCCAAGTTCTCAATTCTCAGTACTCAGTACTCACATCTCACTTCTCAAGTTCTCAGTTCTCAGTTCTTGATTTCTGCGCGTGGACGCCTCTGGCTAATCGAATAAATTATCTCACATTACCGCAGCGCTTGACTGGCTTATTGTTTTTGTTTTAGTGCGGCGACTTTGGCATATAAAATTCGTTATGGTCGCCTCTGAAGTGCATCCGTCAGATGCAGTGCATCTGTATCCGTACATCTCGCGGGGCGGCATCCGAATGTGGGATACGTGCCAATTACAGCCAATATGTGTGTCTGGGTCGGGGTCACCTTCCGATCTGTTTGGAGCTAATCAGAAGCCGCCGGATCGTTAGCCAGTTAGATTCACCCTGCAATTTGCCGTTACTAGACTTTTACTAGATACACTGGGCAAAAAACATCAGTAGTCGAAAATAGCGTAGAAGATATTTTAATTGATTGAGAAGCTTGAGAAGATTGGTAAGTTTCTTCCACACAGAATATTCGTATATGGTTAGGCAATCAATTTGTCTATGGCAGTTCCATTAAGTATAGCCAAAGGATCGATATATCCATATTTTCTGCCATTTCCAATTTTTATACCTATACAGGGTATCATATTTTTAGTCAAAAGTTCATAACGTAGTGAAGGAGTCATTTCCGACCCTATAAATCATATATATTCTTGATCAGAATCAACAGACGAATCTTTCTAGTCATCTCTGGAAGAAAAAAAAATTTTCAATTTTTTCATATTTTTATAAGGGGTTACATCGTTAAAATTTGCAGAAAATTAATCAAAAAAATTTAATTTTTTTTAGTTTTAAATTGAGTATGCAGATTTATTAATCTTATAAAAACTAACATAGAACCGCTTTCCGAATCAAAATTAATTCATTTTTGGCTGAGTTATGAGTTTTTTTAACTTTGATTTTTCGGAAAAATTGTCACATAAAAAAAATAGATAAATATCGATTCAAAGAATGTGAATATTTTAAAATCACTTATTATATATTTTAAATTTGATCCATTCTTTGGCAAACTGCATGGGTATATTCGGTATTTCAAAGTTTCTTTTTCGTTTAAATTTTATTTCCGGCATTCATATGTAGTTCGAAATATTACGTATACGCACTGGTGTAATTGTACCCTTGGAGAGAATTATAATTTCAGTCAGAAGCTTAAAACTAAGTGAAGGAATAATTTAAGACCCCATAAACTATATATATTCTTGATCAGCATCAACAGGGAAATCTTTCTAGCTATATTTGGCAGAAAAAATTTATTTTCAAAAATTTTCCATTTGTTTCAATAAAAAAACTAAGTTGATCAAAATTTAAATTTTAAAAATTTTTTAATTGAGTATGCAGCTTTATTAACCTCAGGAAAACTAGCATAGAACCGTTTTCCGATTTAAAATTAACGCATTTTTGACTTAGTTATGGCTTTTTACACTTTAATTTGTGAAAAAAATCATTTAGAATTTATACTAAAATTTGGGAAAATTTTTAAATACAATTTTGCTACATTTTCTCAATTTGTTTTAAAAGATAATGAATACTTTGTCCGCTGGTATTTTTTATTGCAGTGCATATGTATCTTTTTCCGTATCTGTTTCGAGGCCTGTAGTTCAAGTTGGATTTGCGTTAATTTAACGACCGATTGCATTTGTTTTTATATATTTGTATAGTATAGTATGTAAGTATAAAGTATAGTATGTGTGCTTGCAATAAAATTATATTTTATTGCGGCACACAATTAGCATAAACTATTTCTAGAGGTTATCTTATAGCAACGTGAAAAAAACAAATGCAAATATTCAGGGTTATTCGGTTTTATTCTTTTATTTCATTCTTTAGTGTTATAAATATTTAGTAAATAATATATGTAACAAATATCTATATAGATTTATATAAATTTAATTTAAATAGCTTCCAGCTCAGACCTGCAGAGTGGAGAAGAAGGAGACAACGGCACTGTCCGTGGGCAAACACTGTCCAAAGGCCTCGATGAGCAGCGGTTCCGCGGTGACCGTACCCATGAAATCCTCCATGGAGACCTGATCAG